ATGTGGCATACACATGTACATATGCAAACTTCAATACATGATGAAGTGCAGTGCATTATCCAATCGAGAATTTGTCCTACCTCAAATAAAATAATTACAACATGAGTTCTAGCTTCAGGAAAAGTGACACGGCTCAATATGGGGATTTTAAAACACCTTCATTTTATAGGATATCTGTCATACATCATATTTGATAATAACTTCATAACCACCACAAAACTTAACTGGTGAATCTTCTTGCGTATTATATCTCAACAGCTACCTCTAGCAAGTGCATGATCAGTAAATAACCAACACAAGTGTACTCTAAATGTCTAAAAGTAAACTATGAATCGGGAAATTCCTCCATCAGTTGTGGCCGGTACTTGCTGTTGCAATAGAGGCTCTGTCACCCCTTTTACCAAAGACAACTTTCAGCCCCTTCTGAAACTGCTTGTACTTGATGGCGTATATGAACGGGTTCAGGCAGCTGTTGAGAGCAACCATCCCGATCGTTATGTAGAATATGGGCGATGAGAAGTCGACTTTCAGCCCGAGGTTGGAGAGGAAAAAGAAGATCTGGTTTGGTGTCCAACAAATGATGAATGCCGCGCAGACAATCAGGAGGGTCTTGAAGGTGTTACGGCGAGCACGCATCAGCGATTCCCCCTGGCCTTCAGTGGATGGACCTGCAGCTGCCGGTCCGGGCTGAATTCTGCCAGCTCCCTTCTTTAGAACAACCGTGATGTGGATGTAGACGACGAGCATGATACTGACGGGCAGGCAATAATTCACGAAGAAGACACACACGCCAAGAACTTGCGGGTGAGCCACCTGTTTTATCACGCACACTCCGGCCTCGTAGTAGCGGAGATAGATGCCAAAACTGGAAAACAGAAACCCTGCCACCCACACACCGACCAGTACAGCTATGGCTTTCTTACGAGTGGCCAGGGCTTGGTACCTGAAGGGAAACACTATGGCCAGGTACCTCTCAAGAGTCAATGTTATCAGGTTGAATGTAGACGCAGTGAATGGTGCCCACTGGAGGTAGTCGCTGATCCACACAGAGCAGAGAAAGACCCAAGCAGCCCCAGGAGGTATCGGATCAGGGATTGGTACGAGATTCAGAAGCAGAGTCATCAAGGACCCGATGAGATCAATCAGGGCTTGGTTGAAGATGAAGGCGTTGGTCAGGGTGTGCATGAAGCGATTTTTGGCGATCACCACGCACACCAAACCATTGCCGCAGATCCCAACGATTCCTACAATGGCCTGGAATGCCTGGGTTGCTTGCTCAGCCATTGCGACTCTCTTTTTATCCTGATAAGCTCAAGTTGTGGTTGGTTTTGGTAACTGATGACTGGTCAAAATGCGTGCAGTTTTATACTAGTCCTTGTTTATTCACTGACCAGCAAAGCACGTCATTCACCAGTAATCAACAAACGTTAAGAACAACGCACCTATGATGTACGCTGAATAGGAAATTGATAAATAATTTTAGGGCTAGATTTTAAATTGAAGGAAAGTTTTCTCCCAGAAAAAGCTGTAAATGATTTTATGACTAAATGTCTATTAAAATTATAAGGTTAAACAAGCAATTAAATACCATTCGTTGTATTTTCATCTTTATAACTTTGATTAAAAGGGAATTTTTGTGTAACGTTAATCAAATTAACCAAAGTGTACTCTAAAGAAATGTATAGACTGTAATATCATTAACTACTGGCAGGGTGACAGAAGCGCAGGTAGAGTATTTGATTTTGTCATTGTTTGGATTGGGAATTCCATCCAAGTGCCTTTGTGTGCATGTCAGACACCTTTTTCTCTTTTCTTTTCTTTTGTTGGCTGTTTTGGCAAAACATGCCGAAACAGCCTTTGCTTTGCTGCTTAAAATAGTCTTTGTTGTAAATACAAATATTTAAAGATTTATAACCATTCATATATACAAGCCTCACTGGAAATTATTGACATCAAACAAAGTTGAATGTGGCATACACATGTACATATGCAAACTTCAATACATGATGAAGTGCAGTGCATTGTCCAATCGAGAATTTGTCCTACCTCAAATAAAATAATTACAACAAGAGTTCTAGCTTCAGGAAAAGTGATACTGCTCAATAGGGGGATTTTAAAACGCCATCATTTTATAGGATATCTGTCATACATCATATTTGATAATAACTTCATAACCACCACAAAACTTAACTGGTGAATCTTCTTGCATATTATATCTCAACAGCTACCTCTAGCAAGTGCATGATCAGTAAATAACCAACACAAGTGTACTCTAAATGTCTAAAAGTAAACTATGAATCGGGAAATTCCTCCATCAGTTGTGGCCGGTACTTGCTGTTGCAATAGAGGCTCTGTCACCCCTTTTACCAAAGACAACTTTCAGTCCCTTCTAAAACTGCTTGTACTTGATGGCGTATATGAATGGGTTCAGGCAGCAGTTGAGAGCAACCATCCCGATCGTTATGTAGAATATGGGCGATGAGAAGTCGACTTTCACCCCGAGGTTGGAGAGGAAAAAGAAGATCTGGTTTGGTGTCCAACAAATGATGAATGCCGCGCAGACAATCAGGAGGGTCTTGAAGGTGTTACGGCGAGCACGCATCAGTGATTCCCCCTGGCCTTCAGTGGATGGACCTGCAGCTGCCAGTCCGGGCTGAATTCTGCCAGCTCCCTTCTTCAGAACAACTGTGATGTGGATGTAGACGACGAGCATGATACTGACGGGCAGGCAATAATTCACGAAGAAGACACACACGCCAAGAACTTGCTGGTGAGCCACCTGTTTTATCACGCACACTCCGGCCTCGTAGAAGCGGAGATAGATGCCATAACTGGAAAACAGAAACCCTGCCACCCACACACCGACCAGTACAGCTATGGCTTTCTTACGAGTGGCCAGGGCTTGGTACCTGAAGGGAAACACTATGGCCAGGTACCTCTCAAGAGTCAATGTTATCAGGTTGAATGTGGACGCAGTGAATGGTCCCCATTGGAGGAAGTCGCTGACCCACAGAGAGCAGAGAAACACCCCAGTAGCCCCAGGAGGTATCGGATCAGGGATTGGTACGACATTCAGAAGCAGAGCCATCAAGGACCCGATGAGGTCAATCAGGGCTTGGTTGAAGATGAATGCGTTGGTCACGGTGTGCATGAAGTGAACTTTGGCGATCACCACGCACACCAAACCATTGCCGCAGATCCCAACAATTCCTACAATGGCCTGGAATGCCTGGGTTGCTTGCTCAGCCATTGCGACTCTCTGTCTATCCTGATAAGCTCAAGTTGCAATGGCGGATCCAAGGGGGGGGGGGGCCAAAGGGGGCCATGCCCCCCCCCCCCCAAAACGAAACCATTTGTTTTGTTTTTATGTGACATCGCAATAAAGGCAGGCAATGAGTACACCACAATCTTTTCCTCAAAAAACATTGGTTAAAGTGGTCAGAAATTGCTTCAGATCGCACCACAGAGCATCTAGAATCCAAAAAATTTTCGGGACCCTTACGGGCCCCGAACCCCACGCCGTAATTTTTTTTACCCACTTTTTTGGGGGGACCAAATTTTTTTTTGGCCCCCACCAAAATTGTGTTCTGGATCTGCCCTTGTCAAGTTGTGGTTGGTTTTGGTGACTGATGACTGATCAAAATGCGTGCAGTTTTATACTAGTCCTTGTTTATTCACTGACCAGCAAAGCACGTCATTCACCAGTAATCAACAAACGTTAACAACAACGCACCTATGATGTACGCTGAATAGGAAATTGATAAATAATTTTAGGGCTATTTTAGGTGCTATCTTAAGATGCAACGTAGGAAAATTTAAATTAGTAGTTCGTTTTGTTATTCGGCGAAGCGCGCGCAAGCATTGGCACGACGCACACGCGCGCGCGGTTGCTACAATTCGTCGGATCAGTGCGCGACATCGCGTATAGCTGCAATCGGCTCAGTGAGAACGCGTCTCAGACGCTGAATTCAGGCCCAATTCAAAGCATGATTCAGCAACTTTTGATTTGAAATCGAGATCCCAGAGTGCTGTTTTTCTCGAAATATACAGCTGAAGCTGAGCTGAAACTTAATCAGGTTTGTTGTTCAGTATCCTTCATTAGATTTTGAACACTTTTGTTGCTTCAAACGAACAAAATGCACAAATTACAAATGATGGACTATATATTTAAAAGGGCAATTACATTTCATATTTTTGTCATCTTCATAATTTTAATGGAAAGAGCAATTTTCTTCCCCAAAAAAGAGAGGAAGGTGTGAATTAATTTAACAAAAGAGTACTCTAAAGAAAAACACCAAGTGTTATCATAGAAAGCTGAAATGGTAAAAAAACAATGATGTTATGATAAACGGCAATTAAACTTCTAACGTTAAAGGAGCAATGACCATTCCATTTTATTATCTTTATAATTTTAATGGAAAGGGAAATTGTCTTTGCCCCCCCCACCCCAAAAAAGAGAAAGCGTTGATTTATTTAACAACCAAGTACCTTAAAGCAAAATATATAGACTCTAATATTAACTACTGGCAGGAAGTCAGAAGCACACGTTGAGTATTTGATGTTCTCATTGTTTGGATTGGTAATTCCATCCAAGTATTCTGTCTATTAAAATTATAATTTTAAGTGAGCAATGCCAATTACACGCCAGTGCATGTTTTTTCATCAACTATAATTTTAATGAAAAAGGGAAATTTTCTCGCCAAGAAAAGTAAAATGAAAAAATCTAATGAAAAATAAATAGCAGGACGAGAGAAGCGCAAGTTGAGTATTTGATGTCGACGTTGTTTGGATTTGGAATTTCATATGTCAATTTCAATTTGTAAAATTGTTTGCAAGTTTTATTTAGTCGGCGGTCTAGATCTCTGTTACTGAACTCAGTATCCCTATATGCTATAGGCAATTAGAAAGCTCTTGTTCTGCAGAATCTGGAAATAAAAATATCTCAGTTCTAAAAACAAGCTCAGACTTCAGGCTCATTTTGAGGTGGCAGGTCACATATCGTCACATCAGCTTTCATGTATGCAGTTCGTTTGAACATAACACTTGACTTTTTATCTTCAGGAACTGTGATTCGCACGTCCATGGTGAAAATGCTGGAGTTTGAGAAAGACTTCATGTGTTCAAAATGTAGGCATCCTTTCAGTGTACAGGTATGTGGCGCAACAGTGTTACCCGCTAACTTTCCTTTTAGAAGTTTTTGCTCTTCGGATTACCTTTTCTCAGTATAGCTTATTGTTTCTTTCCTTTATATTAAAAAAGTTAATGCTTTCATTGTGTGGCCATCAAAATCAAAATGAAAAAAAAAAAGGAACAAGGAAATGCAGAGATCCCACCTGACCCATTAAAGGTAATATTCTGGGTGGTGCAAAAAGAAGGAAATTACCCACTTTTGACAGGAATTGTAGCCTACATGTACTTAACTTATTTCAACTGTTTTTATGCCCCGCGGCGAAGCCGAAGGGGCATACTGTTTCCGCCTTGTCCTTCCGTGGGTGGGTGTGTGGGTGGGTGTGTGGGTGCGTGTGTGTGTGGGTGTTCCTGCATGGCATTACGCCTGAGGACAGACAACAAAAGGAGCACAAAGGGGCCATTGATCCTCGAAGGAAGGTGCCTATTGTCCTCGAACGCAGGTTTGTGTGCTTAGTCTATGGGAGAGTGTTATATTACAGGGACAAAGGAAAACACAAAGCCAATCCTCGGAAGCATAGCAAAAAACGACGGTCTGGGTGGGTGTGTGTGTGTGTCCGGACAAATCTTGTCAGCGCGATAACTTGAGAAATACTTAACATATGAACTTCAAATTTGGTTTGTGTATTGTTCTTGGTAATCCTAAGAACCCTTTTGCATTTGGGATCGAAAGGTCAAGGGTCAAGGTCACAGTGACTAAAACAAAAGAAATTTTGTCAGCGCGATAACTTGAGAAATACTTTACATATGAACTTCAAATTTGGTTTGTGTAATGTTCTTGGTAATCCTAAGAACCCTTTTGCATTTGGGGCCGAAAGGTCAAGGGTCAAGGTCACAGTGACTAAAACAAAAGAAATTTTGTCAGCGCGATAACTTGAGATATACTTTACATATGAACTTCAAATTTGGTTTGTGGATTATCCTTGGCAATCCTAAGAAGCCTATTGCATTTGGGGCCAAAAGGTCAAGGGTCAAGGTCACAGTGGCTAAAACAAAAGAAATTTTGTCAGCGCGATAACTTGAGAAATACTTTACATGTGAACTTCAAATTTGGTTTGTGGATCGTTCTTGGTAATCCAAATAGGCCTTTCGCATTGGGGGTCGAAAGGTCAAGGGTCAAGGTCACAGTAGCTAAAACAATAAAAATCTTGTATTTATTCTGAGATCATAGGGATTGGGGATTAATTCATATAAAACCTACAGAAGACACTAATGCTGTAAATGAACGTTCCATGTGACCAAGGTACGTGTAAGTTGATGTTAAAAGAGTGGTGTTATGTCATGGGAACAGTCACGGTTGCGGGGCATTTGTGTTTGTAAACACACCTGACTTGTTTTTATAATGTAGTGAAGTATAGCTCTTCAACCATACACGGTGAACAAAATCTTTAGTGTTATCTTTAGTGTTATTATGCTAATTTGAATACAAGTCACCAAAATTAAATCGCTTGACTGAGCTCCAGAGCTTGAGTTGAAGACAAACTTTGAAAAACACACTTTGAAAACAAGTTATTCTATAGTGTATTTTTTGTCTTCAACTCAAGCTTGGGAGCTCAGTCAAGCGGATGAAATAAAGCCATCCGTGGACAAACAGGTTTGGCACATGACATTTTTAAACTACCATATCTCAGAGACAACACATGCATTTGCAATCATTTTTTTTGTCACGTACATGTAAAGATCAATATATACACCGGGGTACCATTAAATTTAATTTTTGAAATACATTGTGTGCTCAACAAGTAGGTGAAAAGTGCTGTCAAACAAAACTAACAAATTAGGCCGAGTAATAAAAAAAAAGTTTCTCGTCCGGGTTTTTGAAAAATAGGAGGAAGAGGGGCTTTTTATTTTTTATTTTTTATTTTTTTCAAGATGGCCACCATTTTAAAATTTCCTGCAACCGTTGGTGTTGCCACTGTTCAAAGACACTTTTAAAATGAAAGACAAGTTGGACAAGCGAACTGAACATATTTACAGTGTCCTTTAGAGTTGTATTGGTCTACCAAGAACAGTTTTAGATGCATTTGCTTTAACCGCCAAAAGTCGCGAGCGAATTCTTTAAACACATGCTCCAGCGTGAGCTAGTCTCATACCGGTTGCACTCTGGCTTTGAAGTCAGCATTTACCACATACAGTACGGCAGAAAGATTCCGGTTGAATTTTCAAACGACTGTATAGTCTAAAACTATCAATAAACATACATGTACGTAGTCTGGTTCCCTAGACCTGACAATTATTCCTGACGCTCACGTCTCAGCCTCGACTCCATTGGCGCGTAGATTCATCAGGAATAGTCAGAATCTTTTGGTCTGGGAACCAAGTGGGTGAGTTGTTGTGAACTTGCCATGCTCGCACTGTCGCAGGGGTAGCGATCACACGTCGATATTATGTGGTGTACAAAGTGACCGACAGAGTCTATATACTGAAAACTTCGACTCACATATTTTGCAAGTATTTATTTTCCGATGAATTTGTGGACTTTTTCAGTGTTTTTACTGCATTTTTCAAAAATAAAAAATAATAAAAAAATCCAGGCGGCCTCCAAATAGGAAGCGGGCGGGGACGAGAAACTTGGGTTTTTTTTTACTTTGCCTTATTATGAAATAACTTACTTGACTGTAAGTGAATGATAGTGTCAAGCTTCATGTGAAATCATGGCACGTGGTGTCCTGTTTTTTTTATTAAGAAAACTGGAATGTTTGTATCCATTTCCAACGATGGTCGGCCGACCATCTTCCTTTTTTCAAATATTGCCCCCAATTTACCAAATTTAGTCAGTCCACATTTTGTTTGCATTCGGTTGCACATCATTGAATGGGTGCAAGCCAGCTAGTCTGGTTTCCCAACCTGACAATTCCCCCATGTCTATAAATTGCTCTGTTTCATCTAAAGTAGGGTCAGGGGACCATACTACAAGAACAGATTCTAGTATAGAATCGAGTGAAGTTAGGCCCCCCCCAAAAAAAAAAACCCGCTTAACCAAATATGTTTTTCTAGTTCTAGTTTGAACATGCTCTATGTAAATGAAACTGCTTTTTTTTTCCAAACAGGCATCATTTGAAAAGTACTACAGCGAGTGCAAGCCGGACGCGTGCCCAAACCCAGAAGGCTGTGGCTCAAACAAATTCACTTGTCTCTCCAGTGCCGGCTTGGGGTCACCGACGAGTTGCCGCGACTACCAAGAGATCAAGATACAGGAACAAGTCCAGAAGCTGGCCGTTGGAACGGTATCCTTTCATTCAGATGACTTGCCTTGAAATGTGATGATTTTTTTCTTCTCGCAATCCCTCAGAAACCACCGAGTATACAGTGTCTATAAAGTACGTGGTCGAAGGGCAACATGCAAATTACATCTTATAAAAAAACTGTTTTATTTTATTGTGATATGGAAGTCATTGCAAAGTTTTGAATTACCCAAGTTTTTAGTATTTTAAAAAGAGGCCTCTGAAGCTGAGCCTTTTTCAGTAGCTCAATATTTGATTTTCATATATTTTATAGCAGAAAAAGCAGAAAATGTCTCTTATTAATTTTATGCATTTAGCATAAAAGATCAGTCAAGTTCTAACATCACAAGTAACATACATCATTCGACATTTTTTTCCTGTTTTTGTTCAACAAAATGTTTGTCCGTGCATAGCAATATTGCATTCTTCAGAGTGCTGCTACGTTGTTTTTCACGGAGACAGTAAGCAGTAAGTACAGCAAAAGGCACGCTTACCACTTAGGAAAAAGTTGCTTAAATCGGTGACATAACAATAGAATAGCACATCCATGCCATGAAATGTTAAGGTTAGCACAATTTCCTGAGATAGCTGGCACAAATTTTCTGCTAACTGTAAAACAGCACTATGAAATTGGGCCTTTGTCCCTGCTTGAATGAATAATTGTTTTAATTTAAAAAATTTCGGGAATGTTTATTCTTTATAGGCCAATCCATGGTGGGTTATAGTACTGGTAGTGCCTCACCTTCCAATGACAATAAAACATGCAAACCGCAGACGTAGAATATTGTGATTATCCTGAGCAGTGACATACAGATACCGCGGTCCATGTGGGTAGTGCTGGAAGATGATTTAGTGGACAGTTGCAAGGCAGGGGATGATGTCACTATCAGGTCAGTAAATAGTTTATATATCAATGGCGTAGCCAGAAGGATGGTAAGGGGGGGGGGTTATTTAGCCTTCCCCCCCCAAAAAAAAAATATTGTAAAGAGGGACCTTATTTTTACGACTGCCCATTTTTTTCACGAGCACCCTTTTTTCACAAGTGCCCTTTTTTAACGAGTGCCCATTTTTAACGAGTGCCTTTTGTTTTGAATGTCTCGCGAACGGCAACGGCCCCCCCCCCCCCCTTTTTTTTCTAATTTTACTGAGGTCGGGTGACTGGGGAAAAACCCTGTCTAACTTTCAGCATGGATGGGTGAGTGCCCTTTTTCACATGTACCCCCTCCCGTGATCTTGCTATGCCACTGTAAAGTGTTCAAAATTGTATCAGTATCAAGGCATTCTTCAGGTTCATTAATTTGTTTGATTATGAAAGCGATTTCCATCAATTAAGAACCATTGGTATATCGTGTCTACACTGTAATTTAATTGGTCTAGAATGGCAACGTGTCCTGTCTGTGCAAATGACTGTTTTGACTTATTTGCATGATATTATACAAATAATGAATGTTTGTGAGTGCAATGCAATCATCTGAAATCATTCTTTCCATTGCACGAACGTGAAACATTCATTATTTGTTTTAAATAACACCTGAATAAATCCTTGTCATCAGATTGGTTGACTTTTAATAGCCACTTTATTCAGGTTAAAAACTGTTTAAACATTTAACAAGTTCATCATATTTAATGTATGCAAACTGTTCAACAGCTTGAGAACCATCATATTCAATTCATCTCGATTTAAAACAGCGCCACCACCAGCAGCAATGACACCGTGCAATGGAAGTTCTGTATCGTGCAATAGAACTTCCATTGCGCTGCGCGCGCGCCGCGCATGCGACATGCGTTGGGACAAATAATTCAATGACGTGATCAACGATTTACCAATCAGATGACGGGGATTTACTCAGGTGTTGTATAAAACAAAACATTCATTGACTGATGAGATATGCCATTTTTACGCCCCTCGGTTCGCATGGCGCCCAATGAAAGAAACAGTGGTGAAGAAATGTTACCTTGAACACGTTTAATTCCTCGTTGTTTGCAGTGGTATCGTGTTGCGTAGATGGCGTCCCGTTTACGTTGACGGCAAGTGTGACGTGGAGCTCGTGCTGCGAGCCAACCACATCGTAGTGAAGAACGACCAGAGAGGATCAGTCACCGTCACTGATGAAATGGTATGCAACTCAGGCTGGAGCGACTTGGATGTGGAATCGCCTCCAAACTTTTCCCCAAATTTGCTGAATCCAAAACTCTATTAGTTTTGCTGAATAAAGAATTTCTTAAGACTGCTAAAAATTGGCCGTATTCCACCACAAAGGAGTTGACATTCTTTCTTAAAGGCATATGCAAATGATCATTTGCTTTTCATGTATTTTGTTCGTTCCATTCATAGCACAACTCGAAATCCAAAGAAGAATGTTCAAAACCTAACCTGTAGAAGTTTCAGCTCAATAGATATTACACTTTTGAGAAAACAAGCATGCCCAACCTTTGGATCACAAAACATGATTTCGTCCCATAGAGCTATATTAAATTATTAGAGCGCTAACTCGATGTACAATGAGATGCCTGATGGGCGCATCCATGTTTGTGCGCAAACCTATGGAGACCTAGACATTTTGTACGGCTTTTGTACGGCTATTAGCATATCTGCGTTTGTATTCCATTCCGGTGCGTTATCGAAGCCGATACGCCCAAAACCAAAACGCACTATCAGCAAATGAGCGTTTCATTTTGCTCTACGCAAACAGGCAACGCGTGCGCATATTCGCTGCAGGTGCTTTTTGCCATGACGGATTTTTTTTAACTGTCATAACGCACTTAAGTTGTTTGTGTATGTTCTACTTGCGCGTTGCATGTAGAGTTCGCTTTCAAAATTCAATCCATCTAATTTCTTTATGTTCTACAAACACGCACATGAATTCAAAATGTCTGCGCCCAGAGCGGCTTCAAAGCGTCTCCGCGCGCAAGAATGAGGAATCAGCGCTCTAGTAATTTAATATAGCTCTATGTTTCGTCCAGAGCTCTCTCTGTTTCCAAAAATCAGTCAATTGACTGATTGTTGGAAATACACACTTCTTGATTTCTTCTAGATAACAACAAGCCAGATGGAATAATTTCACAGGGTGTGTAGTATCAGTATGATCATTAATCCAAGTAAGCTTTTTGGTAATAATTTGGTAGGTTACTTGGATAAATGCAAATGATCCTTTATGCCTTTAATCAGTATTCATAAATACCTCAGACAGTTTAGCCATTCCTATTGGTCGAGAGCCCGTCACGTGGCCGGTCTTAAACGGATGATAAAGACATGGCTAGCTGGTCTTAAACACTTTTCCAGTGTCGCAATAAAATGTAGACCCCTAAAAATCCCGTGCCTCTTACCGTTTCATTGGTTGAACGTTCACAATCCTCACGTAGGCATGCGCAACACTGCCAGCGAGTCAGAATTTTATAGTTCTAAATTCAAAACGCAACGCGCCAGGTGCGTTCTGCGCGACATCGCGCAGAACATGTTACGCGCGCGTCAATCTCCATAAAAGGGTTGTTTACATCTTACTCGCCAGCTGAACACTCCATTATTGTGCTAGAGGGATGTTTCAAAAAGCATGAAGTGAACTTGTTGAACAAATCGGTATTTTTGAACGAATTATTTGATATTTTTTACCAAAAAGGTATTTATGAATGGGAATAAATATGTGCTCAGTCGGTGTTTATCACTCTGTTTAAGACTGCTTATGGTGCTGATAATTACCCTCGCCTCCGGCTCGGGTAATTATCAGCACCCAGACTCTAAGTGGTCTTAAACAGAGAAATAACAACCTCCAGAGCACACATTTATTCCCTTAATCATTCTTTTTCATTTTTCATTTTTTTTTTACAGAGGCAAGAGTTTGAGGAATTCTGGGAGAAATATAAATATTCCCCTTTTACAGTGAGTTACTGAGGTTTTTATATTTTTATTTAAAGCATTTTGAGCACTACTTTTTTTCAGTCTACATTGTGTTGTTTTAACATACATTCTGTGCCAGGTTGTCCTTTCAGTCAAAATCAATCAAGTGACTGTTTTCAACAGTGAAGAGCTCCCAGCCTACGTAAAGCAGGATTGACTGACTGTGACTATGTGACTTGATACAGCTCCATGCATTGACTGTAGGTGATTGATAAGCCAGCTGTGCCTACCTCTTGCCTGCATTTGTCTGTTGACTGAATTGACTAGTCGCAGTGCTTGATTGAAATATGATCTGACTGTTGGTGACTAGCCTGTGTAAAAGGCATGGCAGGGGAAGAGGATTGATTTTTTGACTGTCTGTGACTGTTCAGACAGCAAAAGGATTAATGTGTTTATTTATTGATTATTCCATTTTCAAGGTTGTAATGTAAAGCCTGATCGAACACTTAGACCAGATCACTCTGTGTTCCCTCAAATAACTTTTTCCCTCCCTTTTGCAGGGTCGCAATGTGATTCTTGCCAGCCTCTGCCCCCAGGTCTACGGTCTGTACGTTGTCAAGCTCGCCGTTGCCATGGTGTTGGCTGGAGGTGTGGCCTATTCCCACCAATCAGGAACCAGGACCCGGGGGGAGTCCCACCTATTACTAGTTGGGGATCCAGGTGAGACATGAAAGTGTTCAACAATTCAAATTGAAGACTTAAGGCTTTACATGGTGGGCATGATCAATGAATGGGAGGTTTGCGGTAACACCATGTGAGTTGTGTGGTTCTGAGAAGAACCAGTTGGTTGAACTTGACGTTTCGAACAGTATCTGCTCATCATCAGGAGAATTAATGCTGGACTCTTGCAGGTGTAGTAGTTTCAGTAGTGCCAAAAAAAAAAATCTGATCTACTGACCCTATTTTTGAAAGGCATGTAATATGAAGCAGAAGTATATTTTTTTTGGTGGCCTAATGGTCAGCACGCGATAGATCATGTTTACCGCCCATGCAGATGTCGCGTCTATCGCCAGTGGGTATCCGTTGTTACATTTTCTGCTCAACTGCTACTTGGAAACAACTCACTCTTTGGTCATTTACATGTACTCCTAATAGTGACAAATGTAGGTTTAGGGTTACTATATGTTAAGCGTTACTAGGCTACAACTTAAGCATACGTTACAGTAACTCTCTCTCTCAATTGTATTAAATAATATGATGTTGATCGACTCCAACGGCCTCAAAACAATGTCGCTCGTATCACACTATCACAACCCAACTACACACTAGCCTCTCCACTCCCCGACAATTACATTGGTTACCAGTTAGACAACGCATCAACTTCAAAACAGCACTTTTCATGTGCAGAGCACTACATAACACAATGCCGCAGTACATAATGGGATCACTCAACAGTAACGTACCCAGCCGTAGTGGCCTCCGCTCCAGTAACAACCTCGGAGTTCCACGCACATTCAAAAGGGCAGGGGACAGGGCCTTCTCAGTGTCTAATCCCCGAAGCTGGAATTCCTTATCACACAACATCCACAACACCAGTTCTCTTGACAACTTAAAGGGTAGATGGAAACCACGTACTCTATAACTCCTTGTCTTCTGGAGTTGTCCTTAGTCGCGCATTGCATCTTGCGAAAATGTGCGCTATAAGCCATGTTGTTATTTATTATTAGGTAATCTCACATCCCAAGTTTGGTCAAACTCTCAATTTTCTCCCGTTTGCATCGGTACAGGGACGGGGAAGTCGCAGTTCCTGAAGTATGCAGCCAAGGTGGTGCCCCGCTCCGTCCTGACCACGGGCATCGGGTCCACCAGCGCCGGACTGACGGTGTCGGCAGTGCGGGACTCCGGGGAATGGCAGCTTGAAGCCGGGGCGTTGGTGCTTGCCGATGGAGGAATATGCTGCATTGGTAAGATTGGAATAGATCATAGCGGTGTGCTTTTTTTGGAATTTCCGAACCAGTGGGTATGTGTTTCTGAAACCGTCAGGTACCCGCGGAATCTCGAAATTACCGTACTGTAACATAATAAATTTTGAAGGAATAAGGTGTATCACCTTGTGCTGAGTACACGCCCTTAAAGTAGAAATGAAAACGTAAAGCTGCTGCAACCTCTCCGTTTTTTACCTATATGTTGCCAGTTGGACTCAATACTTTTTACAATTGTTCATATGCAACTGATTTCCCTTTCAAAAACGGTGGTGTTGGAAACTGAAAAGCTTTCAGGTAATAAAAAAGGTACCCAGGTATCCATCCCAGCGTTATTAGATCACTGTTTATTCGTTATATTCGTGTCTAGGATAATGTAAGGTAAGTGTTACAAGTTAGTGCAGTAAGGTAAGTGTTCTTTCAGCAAAACGAAAACAATTCACATGCATTCCATGTGAATCGCACATGTGAATTGTTTTCGTTTTGCCGAAAGAACACTTACTTTTTGTGTGATCTGTGGACAGAACTTTAAAAACGGTGTTTGTGTTCAAAATTCCGCAACTTGAAAAGTACATGAGTGATTTGAATGATTCTTTTACTAAAGGAAAGCTCATTGATTGGGCTTTCATATCCTAGATTTTGAAAGTGCTACAGGCAAAACTTCATTCAAAAATTAGTCCTGCCATTTGGGTTTCGGTTTTTTTTTTACTCGCTCTGTACTGTGCAATTATTCGTGTCTTACAGAAAACTTTCATCTGCTAGATATCTTCTTGTTTACCATCCTCAAGGATGCCATTCAAGGCACCATTAACATTCTGTGCAGGATTAGTTCAAGAATAGTCTTGGACTTGCTTTTAATTTATTCTCGTCTGCAGATGAGTTCAACAGCATCCGTGAGCATGACAGGGGCAGCATACACGAAGCCATGGAGCAACAAACAATTAGTGTTGCCAAGGTAAGCCACTTGGCCGGCCTTTGGATGGGCTAAGGTTCACATCTAATAAGGACTTCTATTTATCAGGGGTTGTCAGCTCATATCTAAACTGAATTGGTTTGTGGGTAAGAGAATGTACATGTTCATAGTAATTTGTAACATCTACTAAGTTGATTAAACAGGCAGCGTTGAAGTATTTGCACTTTTGGAACTTTTTTTGGTATCCACCTATTTCTAACGATCGTACTACTCATAAAGGGGCTGTTCTTGCACTCAAAGACTAAAAAGAGGGGAAAAATTGGGAAAAATAGAACAACACATGAGGCACTTTTTAAAATTTCCTCTCAAGTTAACAGTGAAAATAATGGTCACGGACATCAAATGCAGATACATGTATGTACGTGCAACTTTCTGCTGCGAACAGCTCCACCTTGAGTCGGTCAAAATTCCCCCAATGTTGTCAAGAATTTGCTGCCCTCGAATTTATTATCGCATGTTATAGAACGTTCGATAAAAATCCCCACATGTCCCCATTGAATTATGCATCCCAATGCACAGCGCAGCCGCACGGCAAAAGTAGAAGTTCTATTCCACGATAAATAGAAGTTTCAGTACACGGTCACAGTTTTGGCAGTTCTGACCAATCAGATGACAAGGATTTATTCAGACATTGTATAGAACAAATAATGATTATTTCACATTCGTGCTATGGAAAGATTAATGTCATTCGATGACAGGAATGTTCCATTCCACATGGCTTCGTGGAGTGGAACATTCCATCTGTCACCTCATGAAATTATTCTTACTATTGCACTCATTCAAGGGAAGATACAACATTTACAAACATCAAAAAACGAAATGATCAAATTATAACAAAATATCTTACTGGATTGTTAGGGAATGACAGTCTAAAGCATCCTGTAAAATCATGGCTCCTTGTGTGCTGGCATTTTCAACAAAACTTGTATTTTTCCAACGCTGGTCGGCCGACCATCGTTGGAGAAAACTTTTTTTTTTCAAAAACTGCTCCTACATTTTCATCTTTAGTCATTCTGCATTGTCTTTGCAATTGATTACACATCTGTGGAGGGTACAAGCCTGCTAGACTGATACTCTTACCTACAATCTGCAACGTCTCATCTTAAGTGGGGTCAGGGAACTAGACCACACGAACTCAAAACGTGAAACAAGCTAGTTTAACAATATTTTCTATAGCACACTAATCCTCCAAATCCATTTATTTCTGAAAATTGCAGCAAAAGCAAGTGTTGTTTATTCCTTTAAAATTCATTTTTACATACTAGATAGTGACAATTTCAAAATGACCATAAAAAAAGTAAACTGTAATAGCCACCGTAAAAGTTAAGAGTTAATAGTCTCCTAATCAATTAGTGAATTAATCAATAAGTCCCTGATTGAATTCATCACGTAATATATATACTTTGTTATTTACTGCAACAAGTGCATTGAAATATTGTTCTCAGTTTCATTATTTCCTTGATCATAGGCTGGATTGGTCTGCAAGTTGAACACGCGCACCACGATCCTGGCCGCCACCAACCCAAAGGGGCAGTACGACCCCAACGAGTCGATCAGCGTCAATGTCGCCCTCGCTAGTCCACTCTTGTCCAGGTTTGACCTGGTGCTGGTGTTGTTGGATTCGCAGAACGACGATTGGGACAAGATCGTGTCTTCGTTTATCCTGGACGGCAAGTCCCCTGGGCCTCAAGGTATGGAACCAATCCATAGATCTAGCCCAAATATTTGGGCCTCTAAAATGTGGCCTATCGCCACAAAACGATCCTAAAGTCACAAATTTCCATTTTGCAGCACATGAGGACTGAGTCTTGTCTATGACAGGAATTTTACACTGTAAAAATTTGTGAAATTTGAAAAATTGTGAACATTCATATCCATTCTTTGAAATGTATAAAAAAAAATGATAAATTTTTGTTTTGGTTAATATTTTTATAAAGTGCACTTTTTTTTAAAAACCATTGTAAATGTTTCAAGCTTTTCTTGACAACAGATGCCACTGCTGCTGTGATGTCACTTTAAGCACACACACTTCAGTTTAGGTGTTCTGCTCTTCCAATTTCGCTCATTAATAACTTTTTTCGCATAATGTTTGCTCATTGCCTTTACTGTCATGTCATGAAACAACTTGAAACAACAAAAAAACCCAGAAGATTTACCACAACAAGCCCCCAACTTTCTTGCAATTTTTTATGCTTGTGTGGAACGCAACCCAATTCAACAAGCAGAATACTTTTTACTTCCAGGTTACAAATTGAAATAAATGTATTAACAGTTTGATTTTTTTTGCCTCTCTAGGAACCTCTAACGATTGTCTGTGGAGTATGGAGAAGATGCAAGCCTATCTGTGTCTCATAAAGACCATCACTCCGACGTTGTCTCCTGATGCTAACAAGTAAGCTTCAAATTTATCTTTTTGCTGTCAAACAATTCTGCTGCATTCACAATGCAGTACTTCTACTACTACAGCGGTACTCAACAATATCAATAAGTTTGGATGTAGTGCCACCACGAGTTTGCCATGGAGAGTCCATTTTTCAATTTTAGGGTCTACAAAACATGGCCCATATGAATGAGTGTCAGCAGGCAACTTGAGCTAATATGTTGTAGATTGGGGCATAGCATTCTGCCGCCTTACAAAAAACACCATATTCATAAAAAGAAAAGAAAAGGGCAAACGGATACTCGAATCATACGCTTACAAAACTACTGACCGGGAAAACTAACAATTTCAAAAGTCTCGCGCTGCGAATTTGTTGACCATCTCCCCACAATGCACTGGGAAAAATTAACTCTCCGTGGTAAACTCTTGGAGACGCACTGCATTGTGAATCGCCCGAATTCACCATAAATTAGCTGAAGAAATCCCCAGTCAAATGTTATGGGCTCTGTGCACAGTACCCCCTCAATGGCGCAAACGAGAGAGTTTGGGGAGACCACGGGAACGGACATTGGAATGCATTACTGTCGGCACTTTGCTCACGGGAAGATGCCATAGGTTTGTGCATAAGTGGAATAAAATGTATGCACACCAGTATGCGTATGCAGTGTGTTCCCCCAACTGGAAGTTTCAAAAGTTTGAAGAGAGTCCGTAATGTGGGTGCACAGTGTTGGCTCAAAGTTTATTGCACCAGTTCATTTTATCTTGTCAGTTTTTGTGTCTTATATCATCCTGTGTAATGACTATAATCATATGCAATCAATCCTTGTTCAGGGTATTGTCGCGGTACTACCAAGCCCAGCGCCAAGCAGACCAGCGTAACGCGGCCCGGACCACCATTCGTCTTCTGGAGAGCACGGTGCGCTTGTCCCAGGCCCACGCCCGGCTCATGTGCCACGATAACGTCATGGTGCAGGACGCTGTGGCTGCGGTCAGCGTCATGGAATCCACAATGCAGGTGAGCTTCAGTCCCAATTAGACCACTACGCACGTGAACGCACGTCGGACTTTTTTTATTCACGCATGTGGGACATAAATCACGGTTGTGATTGATCAGAACATCTTGGGGTGGGCTTAATGAATCTGTCTATCCAATAACTCAGCTAAGCATTCTACACACAACGGTACGTAACTTACACCATATTTTCATACTGGGTGGTCCAAAGAAAAGTTTACACTTTTTTCAGAGGCAGATTTCTCAAAATTGAAGAGACATGTTGACATTTCTTGAAGATTTTCCTAAACTACAAGATCTTGGTCGTATATGGTGAAAAGGGCATTGAAAATATAGGTCAAGTTAAAAAATAGCGACCTTTTACAGAACAATGGTCAAAAACTAGTTTGTCCATGTCTATGACAGTCATGCAGACGTAAGTACAATTATTGCAATTATTTTTGTGCGCAGTGCTATTGTGTTGACCATATCTCATAGACTTGCGTGTGGACAAACTGGTTACTGACCATCTTTCTTTAAACCATGGCCATTTCTGAACTAAGGCTTTGTTTTCAGCGCCGATTTCACCATATACCATGAAGATGCTGTACTTTAGGAATATCTTGAAACAATTGTAACATGTCTCCCCAATTCCAAGAAATCTGCGTCTGAAAACGTGTAAATGTGTTTATGGACCACCCTTTGCAACAGTACGTAACTCACACCATTCACAGGATTTACGCAACGTACGCCATTAACGAAATGTGCATACAAAAATTGCAACAAACTTTTGCCTGTACTTATAATTGATTGTAAGAAACGCGATGGAACCGCACATAGAATTTGAATTGTTAAACAATTTGGATGAGGTCAATCGGAACCTTTACAACAGCTGCTCGTGTACCGTTTCATAGAGGGCACAAAGATACCTAGCCCTTTTCACACGAGAGTCTCTCAACCCAGGTTGAACTCAACCCTGGGCGAACCCAGTGCTGCTCCAGGTTGTGTTTTTGATTTTTTCAACCCCGCGTTCAACCCTGCATCGTTTCACACTTGTTTCATGCAAATCAAGCTTATCATACTCAGTTGCTACTGTTTTGAACCCTGGCAAGAATTTCTAACCGGATTGAAAATCTCAACCCTGGTCTGGAGCAGGGTTGAGTTCAACCCGGGGCAATAACCCGGGGTTGACGCAGGGTTGAAATTCTTTAAGTTTGAAACGATGCATGTTTTCAACCCTGCGTCAACCCCAAGATTTGTCTAGTGTGAAAAGAGCTATAATTAGCTGTTAGTGTTAGTGCCTAGTAGAGTGTTAGTGCCTAATAACCAGTTTGCGTAATCTTGTCTTTTTAGGGGGCTGCATTATTAGGAGGGGTCAACGCCCTCCATACATCCTTCCCTGACGAGCCAGAGATGGAGTATCGAACACAAGGTGGGGCTTTTCACAGTGTCATGATCCGAACAGGACATTTATTGTCACAGACTCTGAATTGTAGCCATACAAATGGCTAGTCCTAAACAGTTCACAAAACAGTGGGCCACCTTACTACAGGTTTGACTTTATTCATTATTATTGTCCTTATTCATTATATTCATATTGCCCTCTTTAACTTAGCCGAGTTGATCCTGTCCCATCTTGGCCTTCAAGACGTCTTGCAGACCGAGCTTCAACGTCTCCAAGACCTGGACAGAGAACGCTCGCTCCTCGAGGACCCACGAGCTCCAGACCAGATGACAATTGACACTAACATCACAGAACTCACAGAGACAACGGTTGCGGGTAGATTGGATGCATCGGTTGATCTGTTTAGCCAAAGCGTCGCTGGAAACGAATCCTCAACCTCACCGAAGAATTTCAACGATACAATTGAAAGTACAGGCACTGGCAAGCCAGGTTGTTCAACGGCCAGAAAGACCAGCACATCATCCAGAAAAGTTTTCGGGGAATTGAGAGGACCTACAAGGACACGCATTGGAGATACAAGTCCATCAACAAGTAAAGCAGCTAGAGAAATTAGCGAATCAACTAGGAAAAATGCCATAGACAGCAGAATATCAACAAGGAAATCGGTGGAAGAAGCTAGTGGATCACCAGATGGTACAACAAGAAAGACTTCTGGGACAAAAACTAGTGGATCAAGTAGGGGACCAGTTGGGACCGAGCGATCGTCAACAGAGAAGTGTAGGGAAAGGCGACATAGTGAAGCGACTGGCAACGTCATAGGTCAAAAATCCAGCTCAAAAGCCAAAACTGGCTCAATAAAAATTCCACATTCTGAGAAAAGCAGTTCCAGTGATAAATCGGCGGCAAGGAGTAGAACGGAATCCCCATTGATGATGGATGAGGATGGGGATGTCGTCATGGCAACCCTATCCCAGCATTCCCTGGGAGGTCCAGCCATCATGGAGAGCACTCGCATCGACGAGCCCGTCGACGACCCAAGGAAAAATCTCTTCACTCTTGACGAAGATCTTGACAGCCTGGTCTCCACGCCCGAGATTTTGAAAGAAAGCAAAACCACAGAGGCTGGCGTTTCTTCAGAAATCAGATCAATGCTGAGTAACTTTCAGAGGAAGCCTACAGAGCCACGGGTTATAGGGAGACAATCAATTCAAGCATGCCAAGAGATTCCACCGGGGACTTCTAAGCAGAGAGAATCAACAACAGAAACCGAGAGCAGGAGTTCTAAAAACGCCAAGATCTCCAAGAGAAGGTTGAGCTCAGATGAAGAAACGTCATCATCGGCCAAAACGAGCCACAGACACAAAAGCACCGAAAGCAAGAGAATGAAATGCGACAGAAAGAATCAGTCAAAGGGGTCCAGGAGTTCCTGCTCTTCTGTGGAGATAATCCAATCTCCCGACGGGGTGAAAAATCTGGACAAGTCGTCGGCCACTCCCGGAAAAATTGCATCCTCGACCATGTCCAAGCTGAGCAGGTTTACGTTTACCTCCCCCACTGACAAACAGGACTCTTCAAATGATGGCGTTCACCAGGAGACACGTAGCAGAGATAGTGACCCAAAATCACCCCCTCTGTGCAACAGGGAGCGGTCCAAAGGTCAGAGTTCAAAGTTCACCACTGAAGTAGAGAGTCAGGGGGTGACTAAGTCGGACAGGAGGAACGGAGAACTCTCTAAGACCGGAGCGGGTATTAACCAGAGCCTGTTCACGACGGGGGAAAGTCTGGACCAGATCGATTTGGATCTGGATTTTGGGAACTAGGATCAATAGTTGGGACAGAGACAAAGATGGTGTATAAAGTGTACATTGTATCAATGATGTATAGATGGATTGCATTCAGAAGCCATCTTTGGGGCGTGTTTAGTGTTAATTCATTCATGCACAAGTGGCCAACTCGTGTGTTTCCCTGTTGAACAAAAGCATACACCTCAAAGATGTTTGCAGTGCAAACGATTTATATCAAAGACGATGTCAACATTTGTTTAGGCCAAAAAAAAAAAAGTCTCCGGTTTCTGGTATGGAGCTTGCCCGAAAAGTGGTGCGGCGACGCGGCTTTTTTTTTTTTTTTACCTGACTTTTTTGATTCAAATGTCGGCTGATGACTGCAAATGGTGCCCGACAAAACTTAGTGCAAATATATGGGAGTCCAGAGAGGCCACATAAAGCTTATTCTCGATCGTAAGCCCATCTAAAAACACGTTAAAATTGTGCAGTAGCAGGATTCCAGTCAAACCAGTGAGTTTGGCGGTTTTGAGACATCATCTTTCATTGAAAAAAAAACTTTTTCATTTTGCCAACGCGCATGGCTACGGCGACGCGTGCGCATACCAGAAACCGGAGACTTTTTTTTTTTGGCCTTATCAAAGTTTTTTTTTTCTTTTGTTATAAATTGACTAATTAGCCTTGATCATAGCCCTATATATAAATATTTTTTATACCGAATAATTGTGATGCATGGGTGAGATTTTATAAGGATTTTTTGTAAGGAATTTGTAAGATTTTACCATGAAGGTCTCTCTCTCTCTACCTTCATGTAGAAAAACAAAAAGAAGTGGGTATTGTAAGGGCTGCCCTTGGCAAAGGCAAATACAAACATACTGGGTATGCCCCCAAATCCTCTGCCGCTTATTTTGTGGATTTTACATTTCAACCACTCATCACCCCTGTACTGATTATGTAAATTTCTTGGTGAAATCCTACATGGAATCACATTTTTTTTGACGTGCAACATGTGGATTTGGTCTTTGCCCCATTATCCCAATTTGTGGACAGGCGTCATTCCAAAGTACAGTTTAAGTATCTATTTAGAAATCTTCTCTGAGATTACAACTTATACTTAAGGATATATATTTCAACTCCCCACCCCAAGCGTTGTTTTTCAATTGCTATATTTTTAGCAATTCAACAGTTATTCCCTTTTAAATGAGATTTTGAACAAAAAAATCTGCCTGTATTTGATTATGGTATAACTGCTAGATATACAACTTTTGAATGTTTGTGGTGTGGCGATAAATCAAGCGCTACGGGCATTTTGTGCGCAAAAGCCATATACATTTTGTAATAAAACCCTTGTCTTTTGGAGGGATGCCCAGAATAGACAAATTCAAAACTGGTTTGAAGGGACAAAATTAATTTGTCAAAGAGCACCAAAGATGCAGACCAGGAAAATACGAGCAGCTCGTGTTTCTGTGTTACTAAGACTTACATGTGTACATTGACTTCATTTGAGGAAATGTACGTAGACACTGCAAGATTAATGCTTTAGTTAGGGGAAAATGTTTCAAATAGGAAAAAGTACCATTGTAGTGTTCCTGCTATTTTTCTGTTTATATTTGCAGTGCATTTGAGCTCCAAGTTTTGAGACAAAACCATTCTTGTTAAATAATGAAAGGTTTGCGGAAACACCATGTGCGAATAATTTCTCAACTAAGAGAATGGTTCTGAAAAGAACCAGAGGTATAAACTCCTGTTAAAATGACTCCTTTTAATGTATACATGCAGTTTTAATCCCGATTTTCATCACTGTTTGAGAAGTGACCTATACATTGTAAATCCCCAGCTAAGAAAGAGAACAACACACTGACACTCCTTATTAACAGTTCCCTTAAATTTTATGTACAAGTTGCAAATGCACAAAACTTATTACAGTATGATACAGTGTACTATAAATATTAAATAACTGAACGTACAGCAATCTCCCCAAAAAATTACAAATTGCCTGATTAAAAGTAACCGATTTACAGATCAATAAAAAAAATTGGATACAGAATATGAAGTAATAGTCATACTGTGCTAGCATTGTGAGTACATATACAGCTTTGAAATGGTACTTTGTTGAATAATTTCATTACCTACAAATTTAATTGCATGTACTATCATTTAATTACGGTTTATCTTTATAGGCCTGTAGCGCCCTCTCTTGGCAGCAGTGGGAAAATGTTGTAAAACAACAAATTGCATCTTAATCCTGTGAACAGTTTGTTGGAATCGCTATAAAAGACCAATGTGAGATGTAAGAGATATATAAACAACTAAATACTACTGAAAATCAAGGCGCCAAAATGTCAGTCAACAATGATGGAAGTGGTTAAAATACATACCAAGGACAAAAGTTTCATAATCATTTTTTTTTAGATTAGTAGTCGACGAGCATGCAACTTTTCATTGTAGGCCCCTATCCCCTTATTTTGTTAAATTTTCGATGCATGGCATTAAAAATTGAAAACAGTCTTTTACAGCTTTTGGGAAGAATGTAGTATCCTGACGTGGTTGGTTGTGTACAAAGTCTATGGAGAGCTGAGTGCATTTTCAAAGTATTTTCTAACAAAATTAAAAATGTTTCTCAGTCCCAGATTGATGTCTTTTCAACATTTTTGTAACGACTGACCTTCATTGAGATAACATACATGTATATGAAAAAAGGTGCGTCAGGATGCAACATTCTTTCTCAGCTTTACGTTTTCTCATGTTTTTGTTTTTAACTCCCTCGTTGTTGCCCAGGTCAAATAAAGCTCTGGAAATTACGTAACACCACTAAAACTCTTGCTTCCATTATTCAATAATTTGTGATGTTTTATGTCTGTCCTTTAAAGGAAGTGGACACCATTTCTACAAATTCGAAAATGAAACTGTAAAAATATCATGAAATATCCTACTTGATTGTAAGTAAATGCTAGGATTAATTTGGCTAGTATGCTGTCAGTTTCGAGAAAAGATGAATTACCATAATTTCCTTGGGATGATAGGACCAAACCATCACGCGTTCAACAGAAACCTAGGCTTTGCATCGACCAAAAATGAAGATGCATTTCACAGTTTTCTTGAAAGTATATCTACTGAGCTGTAATTAGGTTACTTTTTAATAACCTTAACGGGTTAATTTTTTAATAACCTGCTTCAGATATGTTGTATTGTTCCTTGAATCAGCAAAAACAAACTTCTTTTTTTGCAAATGGTGTCCACTACCTTGAATTTTTTTATTTTACATGGACTTCCATACATTTTTGTTTCATTTCATTGCAATACATTGATTGTCTTTTTAGGAATACATTGCATTAATTGTAATGTAAGTCTTTGTGTGCAATGAACAACGAAACAAAATTAATCCACATCCAACACTTCAAATATATCATGATAATAATAATATTGGCTTCTTGTATAGCGCTCGTATCCGTAACGCTCCTGGCGCTCCAATTTTACCCTGGCTTTAGCACGGCTGCCATTACGACGCTCAAGCATTGAAGGAATTTCTTCCTACCAGGTACCCATTTACTACACCTGGGTGGAGAGAGGCAATCATAGTAAAGTGCCTTGCCCAAGAACACAAGCACCATGTTCCCCGTCAGGATTCGAACCCATGTACCACATCACACGAGTCGAACACCGTAACCATTGGACCACAGCACCCCACAATATAACGTGTTTGTGTCCTAATTGTCAATAAATTTGAAAACTAAGCTCCATTGTCTCATCTTAACGTACTAGCAAATGCACTGCCAAGTTTCTTGTTGAAATAAAAACATTTAAAAAAGGGGGGGGGGGGGAAGCCTTGGTCTCCCCCAAATTGGCAAACAATTTACTTTCATTTAAATATTTAATGTATTCCCTTTGGTATTATACACAAAATCTACATGAAACTAAATGTACAGATTTGTGAAACATTCATTTTGTCCTTTGGACAAATTACATGTACTGGTTTCATTCATTTTTTGAGAATAAAAATACTTTTTTTAAAGTACTGATTAAAGACCACAATTTAGTAAGAATTACTGATGTCATTTGTGGTATTTAATTTAAAGCATTCCACGTACTACTGAAATAAATGCTGATTAAATAATTGCATATTAATTTGACCAATCAGAAAGTGGATTTCAAAAAAATGTCTCGGGTCTTTTTTGCATTAAAGAAAGTACTTCAGAGTACAGAATTTTGATTAAAAAAGGGGGGGGGGGATATTGTCCTAAAACACAGACCTTTATAAACTAAAACTCTCTTTTTCTCTTTAGCTTTTTTTTTAAAGGGTAGAGTGAAAAGTGAGGTCTGCTAAGAAAGCTACATGTTCAAGTCATTTACAATGTACCATATGGGTCATTCTATAAATTTAGGGTCCAATATGTGACTTTTTTACTGTCCCTGTTACCTTGGTACTTTGTAATTTTCCATTCAAGTACATGTATCATTGAGAATGACTTCAAATGATTGGGGTAGGTAGTGTTCTACGTGTATTCACAATCACTTATTAAGCAGCCAGCTCTTGTATTAAGAATTATAAAACTATAGATGTCTGATGTAATGCAGACAGGAAAAAAGTGGACCAAATTTATAAAATAGCAGTACATGTTGCAGGTTTTGTTTATATTTAATAAATATGCTGAAGCTACATGTATGTAAAACTGTTCTACGGTGTTGCATATTATTTAGGAAGGATATATGTCACCAACTGCATAGGCAATATTCCATGAACGCAATAGTACCCGTTGCTATATCGGATGTGAACCACCCAGCAAAGTAAACAGGCCATTTGGTTAGAATATCTCCAATATTTTAAGCCTGTCGCCACCTATGGACTCCGTGCAGAAACAATTCACGGTGCTTTCTGACTCATTTTGAGAGCCCACTGGTTTGTGCGCATATGGTGCTAATACGTGTCCACAAAAAAACATGTCCTACTTTTGATCCTAAATAACTCTGTCGTTTACAAATGGAATTAAACCAAAATTTCAGATCATGTAAACAAGGCATGACAAATTTTGTGCAAGAGGGGGTGATTGAAACGCCATACGAAAAGAAATACTCACCTTCAGAATGCCGACACAGCACTGGAGGTAGTGGCAGAAGGCCACGTGCTGCGGCCGAAAGCTTCTGATGGAATGCAGGATCTCCCCTGATGTCATTGCACACCTCCTCGATCGTGTGTTGCGCCAAACAATCGAGGTGTGCAATGACATCAGGGGTGATCCTAAATTCCTTCAGAAGCTTTCGGCCGCAGCACGGGCCTTCCACCACCGTCTCCAGCGCTGTATTGACATTGAAGGACACCAAGTCGAAAGTGGCAGATTCTGAAAGTGAGTATTTTTTTCATATGGCATTTAAATCTCACCCTCGTGCACAAAGCTGATAAAACTCGCTCCATAAAATGTGTCATTCCTTGTTTACACGATCTGAAATTTTGGTTTCATTCCACTGGTAATCAACAGAGTTATTTAGGATCAAAAGAAAAACTTTTTTTGACACGTAGTACATATAAGCACCACTACTTATATTCTGAATGTGTATAAAGCCATAGGGTCCTCGAGTGAGCGTCAAGCGCCGTCAGCAAAGCATTTGACTGTCTCTCCCAGTGGTCTCCACAAATTCTCCCTTTGAGTCACACCTCGTATAATAAATAACAAAAACCACCAAATTTCCACATCTTGAGTACTTCACAAGCCTTAAATTAAACCGCTGACAATACTGCCTCTGTCAGTAAAAAACAATTAACAAACAAACAAACAAAACGAAGACCGAATACTGTATCAAAACACTTAAAATGTTGCATTTTTTTTGACTGGTCATGTGGTGATCACACTACAAGTAAAAAAAAAAAGCAGTGAAATAAAAATTGTAATTACAAGTCAAAATGACCAAAAATAAATATCATTTCAAATATACAATTTACAATGCAAAGTCAGTATATACACCAATGCTGCAAAACAGTGAATGTTGCCATTTCTATTCTAACCCTAATTTTCCTTTAAAGTAAATGAAGACATTGTTTGGTAAAACTTTGGTGTAAGATTTTTTTAATAAAAAAAAAAAAACACGGGTCAGTACTGCGAATACATCTATGCACATAGGTCATTTCATACTTCCAGCAAAATGTTAGAGCGGTTACTTTATAATGGTACTGGCAAATCCCACGTTAATACAAGTGCTTGACGAAAAGAAAAACGTCTATTCCAAGAGCTTGAAATGGTAATAAATTGAGGACGCAATGAACAAGTGCTTACATAGCTCCACATTAATGAAATTTGCATGATCTATTCAGATTAGCTGTGACATAATTCTGGTAAAATAAGTTTTGGCCACCCTTATTCTATTTCTGAGAAAATTGTCCTTGATAACAAAAAATGCGTTTTTTTGGTTAACTCACCCTGTATATAATTTATGACCATGATTAGTACATGTAGGGCAATTAAAGCTATAGTCCATCATTTGCAGCCATCCGAAAAGTAACTGACGTAATTATTGTTGAAAAACATACTTGGTTGAAAGATAGTAAGGGGACTAAACTCCCTGTGAAATTATTCTTTCTGGCAAGCTGTCATTTTGAAGTAATCAACGAAAGAAAGCCTTTCCAACGGTGCGTGTTAAGACGCACCATAGGAAAATTTAAATTAGCAGTTCGTTTTGTTATTCGGCGAAGTGCGCGCAAGCATTGGCACGATGCACACGCGAACGCACACATACTTGTTTCACATGACTAGTGTGGACTTTCCATTGCTTTCGTGTAGTTAAGAAAAACCAGTGAAAAAACTCATTTTTCTCAAACTGTGAAAACTCTTTCAACCCAATTTTTTTTCTATGATTCCCTTTAGTGTTTCTCTTCATTCTGCTACAGATAAACCTAACCCAAAAATGCCTCTAAACCTGTTTTCCAGAAATGGGGAAACACTGTGTGGACGTGGGGTAAGTCCACACAACGTCGGTGCTACCTACATTATGTGGACGTCTTTTGTTCGGAAGTCCACACTGCGTATGTAAGACAAACTCAGTTGCTATAATTCGTCGGATCAGTGCGCGACATCGCGTATAGCTGCAATCGGCTCAGTGAGAACACGTCTCGGACGCTGAATTCAGGCCCAATTCGAAACATGATTCAGCAATTTTTGATTTGAAATTGAGATCCTAGAATGCTGTTTTTCTCGAAATATACAGCTGAGCTGAAGCTTCATCAGGTTAGTTGTTCAGTATCCTTCATTAGATTTTGAACACTTTTGTTGCTTCAAACGAACAAAATGCACAAATTACAAATGATGGACTATATCTTTAAGCACAACACCGACCAAACAAAATGTCTATGAAAATTTCTATGTAGATGACTTTGATTACCCTTATTGGCTTGGACGAGAAATAAACATCTCAAACTAAAGTAAAGGATAGTAAAGAGGGATGTACATTTTAAACTGAATACTTGCATATAATTGAGTGAATCGACTAAAACGCTTCAGCTACGAGATCCCATATCTATAACACACAAGTTTAAACTTTCAGCAAATAAGTGCCTAAATACATTGGTTGTTTTTATGTAATGTGCCATTGTAATAAGATTTTTATATAGAATACCGGATGCTTCACGATACGCTGCACCTCCAGTTTTTAACTCTTCAGTCAAGGTAGCATTTTGGCCATGCATGCTCACCCATAAAGCGGTTTTTCTTGTGATATTTCATATTTGCAATACGTGAGAAGCAGTTGGATGCCTTTCAAATAGAAAAGAAATTTGATGTACTGACTAGCCCACACATCTATTATGACTTATCGCACGATTACGACATCCCAAAATATGCCCCATCAACTGTTTTGTATTACAAACTTTTTTGTATTGTAAAATGTCCGTACTGTAGACATGTATGGCATGTTATATGCTGTTCTCTATTCGCCGTATTTCAGTCAAGAGAAAAGTGTTGTTTTTTTCCTGCCATGTCACTGTACAAACCACGAGTGTCAAGTTACATTTTTTTTTGGAAGGAGGGAGAAAATGGAAAATTAAGTTGCGTAGATTCATTTCAAAATACCTCACAAACAGAAGTAAGTGCTACAGGCTTACATCACAGTCAATCTATGGCAGATAATTTTGATTTTTTTTAATAAATAAAATGAGCAGGGAAAAAAATGAAATAAGGAGAGACAACCAGCACATGAAATTTGGAATCAGTTTGGTTGAAGACACTGAAAAATTACTTTCACAATTTGGCAGAACAAACACAGCTCCGCATTAAATGCAAACATCCTTTTAAATTTGTGAGGACTACAAACATAATTTTAGTAGCCAAAGGCAAATCACTTAAATAAATGTTATTTCCGAAACTGAATTCATTAAATTTTGAATTTGGGTACAATTAAGTCAAAAGTAAATTGTCTACATAACTGTCTGATTACTTGGGCGTGGTATTACCAAATTGGAGACACTACATAAATTTTCAATCATTTTCGGCCTCATTGCATTGTCAGTTTAAGGATTCACAATCCTGAAAAATTACAAATAGTTTTAAATTGTGAAAACAAGGATTCAGAAAATGAGAAGTTTGGTTTTGGTTATAGAGAGGTTGGACCAATGAACAGGGTTTGTGCCGAGGGTCTTGGGAACTCCTGTCCCGACGTCATACTCTGCTGCGGTTGAAGGGACCCACTGCTACCCTGACGCACTACAGGTTGCGCTGGCTGCTGGCGGTTGGCGTTCACTGGTTCCCCGTACTGCGGGGAGGCATGTTGTACGGCTGGTTGGGGGACCACAGTCCTGATGACTCCCTGTTGGTGGGGGTCAGTCTCTGAGTGATGGGATGCCAGCGGGGAGGCCTGGCGTGGCAGGACAGCCCGGTGCGCCATGGGTTTTGGCACGGGCGCCGACTGGGCCAGGTTCTCAATACTTCCCTCGTCCGAGTTATCTAAAGTGTAGCTGAGTCGGTGGGAGACCACTGGCTCCCCGATGTCTCTACGCTGCTTATTTCTCAGCTTGATTGGTGGCTGGGACGGTTTGGTTGAAGCGTTGGGTTGACTGGCTGGCCCTGTGTCGGGGGGTTTACTTTGGAAGTTGCCAGAGGAGGGAACCCTTGCGACTGGGGTCTCTTCATCTGGACGTCTGGGTAGCGGCCGGTAGGCCATTGGGTTGGAAACCATTGGGTGGGTGTTGGTACTCGGGGCGTGTTTGCTCACAGGGTGAGAGGCCACGGGGATGAAGTTTGCAGGGTGGGGCGACTGGTTGGCGGTTTTGACCGTCGACGGTCTGGGGGCGCTGTTGTTGTTAAACGGCACGGAATTGTTGGTCTTGCGCTGCAAGGACTGAGCATGCTGTCGTGCGGTTACCTGTTGTTGCGGTTGCTGCTGCGGCCTGGCAGTGTGCTGTCTTGAAAACTGTTCCTGAGGAATCTGTTTGCTGACTTGCTGAGCCACGGGCTTGCCACCGCCCGAGGGCTGCCCCAGCGCGATCTGTAAGGTCAGAGGTCGCTGGATGTCCTGGTTCCCCGCATCCCCCGAGTAGGGGCCCTGGGGATCCCCCATGAGTAGGGTACCAGTGACCGGGTAGGAATTGGCGGTGCCGGAGTAGGCAATCTGAGCACTGGTGGGCACCGCTTGCGAGTTGGTTACCATTCTAGTGGAAATACTTCTCGGCGCCGACCCTGTCCTCGGCTGATCCTCATTCATCGTGGATGACGACACCAGGCGTTGCTGGATCGGACCGGGCTCGCTCCCTGGCAGGACCCCGTCTCTCTTGGTCGCATCAGGTGGGGAGATCTCGTTCTCCGAGGCCTGAGAGCTGCCGGGCTGGGAGTTGGGAACTCCCGAGTCTCTGCCCTGGTCGTTGTCGGCCGGCGAGTCCTTGGTGGCGGGGATATCCTTCTGTTTCTTGGTCTCATCTTTGCACTCTTCCTTGACGCGGACTAGGAGACGACGGACTTCGCGGTTGTTGGGAGCCAACTTGATAGCCTCCAACAAGTCTTGCAGGGCAGGGCCAAATTGCCTGAAACGAAGAGGGAAAGAGGGAGATTAATCCAGTGAAACCGTGGTGATATTTATTTGATTTCAAAAGAGGACGTTCATGCCAGAGTTGTAATTTAGACATCACAACCAGTGTTGTATTCGAGTATTTTTTTCCGAGTACCGAGTACTGCTGAGTACTTCGGTTGCCAAGTATGAGTACGAGTACGAGTACGAGTACCTCCGAGTACAAGAACGGGTCTCCGAGTTTGAGTACTTGTACTTCCGAGTATGAGTATGAGTACGAGTACTCGCATTTCCGAATACGGCCATACAGCAGATGGTTCATTGTGCGTAATTTGCCCAGGCCCAGTCAGACCGTTATACAGACCCACTCACGGCCAGCTGTTAAATGTGTTTGTCCGGACGTGCACAGAGGAAAATCAGGAATTTTCGATTTCTCCACAAGCCAATCAACCATTTCAAACTGAAAGTATTGATAAAATAAGGCCATGGTAAGTAAGGCTGTAAACCATGTTTTCCCACCGAGTACTGCTATTCGAGTACGAGTACTTTAATGATCGAGTACAATTTCGACATGTCGAGTACGAGTACTTATTTGCTGCCCGAGTACGAGTACTTTGACATTCAAGTACGAGTACGAGTACTCAAAAAAAGTACTCGAGTAGTACTGGAGTACGAGTACCGAGTACGAGTACTTCAACACTGATCACAACTCATGGATGATGGAAAGTAAAATCACAAGTCACAAAGTAATTTGAAGTGAGACAATAATGGTTGTGCCTTGATATGCTTTGGGCTGATCGGGCACTATACTCCGGAAATTACACGCGCGCAATGTCTTGACGCGCGTCTAGTTCACGCTGACGCGAATTCATGCACTAGCTTATATTAGTGAACCAGACGTGACCGTGTTTCAGCCAACCAGGATGAAGAACCAGCAAGAGGTGTGTTATATTGCTACCTAGCACATCCCCTAGATATCTCAAAAGAATTCCTGAGATTCTGGTAACACAAATGACCAACACAAAAGGGGGAGGGGTTTCCTCCGTCACATATTGTGCTACATATGACCATGCGGGCATCATACCTGATAGCGCGTTTGGCCCGGGCTCTGGCATAGAATGCCTCAAAGCACTTTGGTTTGATCTCCAGCGCCTTGGTAGACAACTCAATGGCTCCTGGTATGTCCTGAAATGATGCACACAATCGCAACAGACGTCAGTGGGTTTTATCAAACACAAAACATGACCCAAATTTATCACTATTGTGTAGTTTATACGAAATATTCTGACCTTTCAGATTTATAAAATACATTTCCTCTTTGATTTATAAAAACATTTCTGGTTTGTCTTCCCAGTTGAACATGATCTTCAATAATCACATTTGTATAGTTCCTGGAAACTTCACCTCCTTCATTCAGCATTTGGCGGGATTCAAAACAAAATCATTACAATGAAACTTTTTCGGAACCAGTTCTGAAGTACAGTGAAATCTTGATAAGTCAAACTCTGATAACTCAAAACAAATGTTAAGTCAAACAAAGAATCCATTGCCTTCAGTAGTAAAACAATGATATACAACCCTGCTTAACTCAAAACTCTGCTTAAGTCAAATTTGGAACCTGTTCCCTTGAGGTTTGATATATCGAGATTTTCCATTAACTTGAGTGACATAATATCCCAAATTTCCGTTTTCATCAGCTTATCGGTGTTACATTCCAACTAGACCGTAGTCCCAACTTAAGCTGGAACTATCCCACCTTAAGTGTGCCAGTTGCAACACTTTAGTTGGGACGGTCCCAACCTAAGTTTGGACCGATAGTCAACTTTGGGTGTAACATCCTCATAAGAAAAAGTCCAGGTCTCCCGTTTATCTTCGTCTCCTTGCCACAATACAGCAATGTGTGTAATGTGTCATGCCCAAGGACACAAGAACCCAGCGCCAAATTTCATGGAACTGCTAAGCAGGAAATTGCTTAGCAAAAATAAACGTTAAGCAAGAATGAGCTGAGAACCTGTCACAAACAGTGTACAATCCCATCACATTTTGACCGGTAACCCGTTTCTGCTAAGCGAATATTTGAATCGACAAAATTAGCTGGCCTAACGTTTGAGAAAGTTCTTGCTCAAGATGGAAACATCAGGCTGGCTAACTTTGTTGATTTGTATATTTCAGGTCAATGCAGTCAGTAAGCAGTTTTTTAAGCAGTTTTATTTATTTCAAGCGAATATATTTGTTTGTGTGCTTAGCACCTCCCTGCAATTGATCTCTGGTCCCCTAGGCTGGGATTCGAACCCCTCACCTCTAGTTTCCTTTTACACCTGGACACGTTGAGTAGGAGGTTGACCTTCAGCTCCTTGAAGGTCCGGATCTCGTCACCAAATGCCTCCGTCGGGTACTTCTTGAGAGCGCACTGATATTTGTGGCACGCTTCCCGCCACTTCTCTTTCTGTAAATGGCAAGGCAGACACAGACAGTGCAAAAGTATGTGAAAAAGAACTCTGAAAAAGACTTCTTTAAAGCCACATCATACTCGGCGCGAAAGTGAACACTGTTATTTCTCAACAAAAGTTTAACACATTTCAACACCTGTGGATTTCCCTGTTAATGTTTTGACATTAATTAACTTCACAGAGATTCTGCATAGGTACGAACTGGCCCCCAAAATAACTAATGCGTACGAATTGGCCCCAAAATATAACTAACACAGAAAAAAAAATCATAAGAGAATTGTAGACCCCTTTGCAAAGGTGCGCTTACCCCTCTGAATGATGAAAATGACATAGCGCAACTACTGGAGGTTACTTAAGTACAACCTCTGCTATATGCCCACGCTCGGGTTAATTTGTCTTGTGTGCCAATGCAACAGGTTTGTGCTCAATAAGGCCTGCTTCAAACGTCAAACTTCTGCCGTGTCTAATTCAATTCATTGCAGTCGGCAAAAAAAGCGGCAGGTGCTTCAAACGTCAATTTTCTGTTGAACGTAATTTGGTCGTTCAAGATGGTGGACCAAGACAGGAGACATATGATACTGCGACAAATTCTTTCTGCGAGGAGGCGGCGCTCTCTCCTTCAACAGGCAAATTTATTGGAGGTGATTTTAACAAGGAGAGTTTTCATTGTTTGTTCATTAATCCTGCTGCTCCTCCTTTCTCGAGAAAATGTCACAACATCCCAATCCTGTCGGCGTTTAGTCAAGAATACGGGTTGGCTGGATATGAAGCTTAATAGGAATTTGGAGAGGAGATTCAAAAAGGCATTTCGGGTTTCCAGGCCAACCTTTGAAACATGTCCATAAGGCGCCGCCATTTTGTTTTAACACTGAAAAGGAAACAGCCGGCGGCGCATGCGCATATTAAAAGGGTACCACTGAGATTCTGAGTTGGGACGTGCCAATTGAATTCGACAAGGCAAAAATTCACCGTTTGAAGCCGTGCTGCTCTTCTGCCACTCAGAAAGCCTGCTGTTGCTTCAAATATTGACTTTCTGCAATGTCTTATTCAAATTTAGGGCCATTAGTTGAATTTGGGCGATTCCCAATGCAGTGCGCCACTAAGAGTTTGCCACGAAGAGTTCATTTTTCCCAGTGCATTGTGGGAGATGGTCGACAAATTCACAGCGCGGGACATTTGAAATTGTTCGTTTTTCCAGTCAGTAGTTCGTAAAGGTATGCTTCGAGTATCTGTTTGCCCTTTTGTTTTCTTTTTATCAATGTGGTGTTTTTTGTGAGGTGGCAGAACGCTATTCCCCAATCTATAACAAATTAGTTCAAGTTGTCTACTGACACTCATTCAAATGGGCCATGTTTTGTCGACCGTAAACTAGAAAAATGGACTCTCCATGGCACACTCTTGGTGGCGCACTGCATTGTGAATCGCCCGAATTAGACACGGCAGAAGTTCAATGTTTGAAGCAGGCCCTAGTTGTATACTGGTTTCACACATTCTGCATCACATGCAACTGAGCCAGTCCGTGCTCGTGATGTGTCCTGCACTGGTTCTTACGAGTAGGCCGCATAGTGCCATCTACAGTTCTTGCACAAAGTGGCATATGTGGCAAAATGCCTTGTTAGGCCTTAGCTATAGCTTGCAATTACAAATGTGCCTGTGGAAGCTGCTGTAGCCACTGCCCACAGATACCCCTGTTATGCCTGCTGTAGCCAAGTAATGCCAGTATGGCTTTACCTTGTAGAGAGCGTTTCCATCGTCCATGAGTTTCTTGAGGAGTAGGACCAGGATGTCTGGCTTGGAGGTGGCCATGGCCCAGGCAGCAGGTCCTATACAGAGGAATATAACTCAATCAGCTTGACGTAGCGCATTAACCCTGACAGAACTCAACCCATCAAACCCCAACGGCATGTTTCGTTGGAATCTGTCAGGATGGGTACAGTACCCCTAAACTGAAAGTCTTTTACATTGGGTTGCCGCACCTCCAGAATCAAAGTCAGAAATATGTGTGTGCAGTTTCCCATGTGGTGTTGGAATTTGCCAGGATGGGTATGGTTCCTAGTAATCATGCTAGGGAGTTAGGGTTAGAGGGCCATTTTGACAGTTGGACTTATCTGGAGAAAAACTGTTCGTAAAACAAATTCCTGATGACATGAACCTGAACTGTGGAAAAGTTGCAGGCCTGCTAATGTAGTGTTTCCTTACCTAACTTAGCTCCCTTCTTGAGTAGTACTGAGACAACCGAAGTGTTCCTGCAGCCGATTGCCCTATCTAGAGGCCGCATGCCACTGCTATCCACGTGCTCAATGGTCGCACCTTTCTCTACTAGCAGCTGCACCTGGGTTGAAAAATATATTAGATTCTTAAGTAAGATTTGAGGCTTTGCATGGTGGAGATACTAAATAATGAAAGGTTTGTGGAAACACCATGTGGGAATAATTTCTCAAACTAAGAGAATGGTTCTAAAAAGAACCAGAGGTATAAACTTGACGTTCCAGTCAGTATGCTCTGACCGTCTTCAGGAGGTTTCCGCAAACTTTTAATTAGATTCTTACTTAAATCAACAAAATAGAAACTGTAAAATAAGAGGGCCTTGATATTTTAGGATCAAAGCATCAGGCCCTCAAAATTATAAAAGTTGTAAATGTTCAGGTCAGTCTAGTTGGTTAGAAATTTACAGCAGGTTTTGATTTCTTATAACAAGGAAAAGAAATCTCAGGTGATAAACATCATTCACAATTAACATCCTTACCACTTGTGGATCTCCAAAGAAAGCAGCCAGGTCCAGCGGCGTGCGGCCGTTCTTGTCGGCGTGGTCAATGGCGGAACCTCTCTCCAGCAGCGACCGGACGATGTTGAAGTGACCCTTGAGACACGCCCAGCACAACGCCGTCAGCCCCTCCTTGTCACACTTGTGGACGGACGCGCCTGGGGGATACAGAGCGACAAGAAACAGAGTGAATGCTGGAATGCTGCGGACCATTGCACTGCCATAACAGAGCATTTGGAGAGGTCAAAAATATTTTAACTTTGCATCAAAAAGTGCAAGGCAAGTCCATCTTACTTTATTGAGCAGCCGAGATCCCCACCTCCCCCCCCCCCCACCCCAGTGGAAAGGTCCCAAAATCTCACATCTGACTCATTTTGCATCAAGTGTTTTTAAAGGCAAATAGGATCATATGCATTTATCTCAACAGTACCCTAGCAAATTATTATCAAAAAGCTTACTTGGATTAAAGATCATATTGGAACTAACCACCACGTTAAATTATTCTGTCTGGCTTTCTGCCATTTAGAAGAAATCAAGAAACCAACAATCACTCAATTGACTAATTTTTTTTAGTAAAGAGTCCTGGACGAAACTAGTGTTTCGTGATCAAGAGGTTGTGCGTGTTTTTTTTTTCATTATTTCTCGAAAAGTGTTACATCCACTGAGCTGAAACTCAGGTTAGGTTTTGAACATTCTTCTTTGGATTTTGAGCAGTGTTATTATTGGAAACGAACAAAATGTATGAAAAAAGCAAATGACCCTATATGCCTTTAACCCTAACCCTGCTGAATGCAACAGGATCTAACTATATCATACACCTGATGGTGCCTGTTGGATTGAGCAGTAAACCCCTGGTGTACATTCCTGATTGCAATATGTTGAAATCAGCGGGCAACTGAACCGCATTATAATCCCAAGTTGGACTCCGTTGAATTCAGTAGACAACTGAAAATAAGGCCCAGTGGATTGAACAGGAAACTCCGGTTGGACTCTGTTGGATTTAGCAGGGTGGTCCTGAGGAACTACTAGGGGGTTAGGGTTACAGCAAGTCCACCCCTCACCTTTACTGAGCAGCACTTCCAGGACGGCCAGGTGGCCCTCTCCCGCGGCCAGCATGAGAGGCGTCCGGCCATGCCGGTCGCTCTCCTCCAACGCAGCGTGGTTGAACAGCAGAATGTCCACTATCTCCCAATGGCCGCGCCTGACAGCGCAGATCAGCGGCGACATCTGGGTCGTGTTGGGGGCGTGGACCGAGGCGCCGCGCTTCAGCAGGAGCTTGAGGACCTCGGCGCGGCCGTTGGTGCAGGCTGCGGTCAGCGCTGGTGGAGTGGAGAGACCAAAAAGAAACATGCTACTTTGGATTTGGTTGGCATTTACACATTAACATATTCAAATTGAAATATGTTTACAAACTTCCAAAACATTTGAACAGAACCCGAGCAGTTTGTCGACTTTGGGGAATTGTAAGCTAAGAGAATCAGTCCGGCAGGCTTGTACCCCTTCACAAATGTGTAGTCAATTGCAAAGAAAATGCGGAAAAACTAATTATGCAAAATTATGAGCAGTTTTTAAAAAAGCCAGTTTTCTCCAATGCTGGTCTGCCGACCAGCGTTGGAAAAAATACAATTTTTCTTGAAAATGTCAGCACACCAGGAGCCACGATTTACAGGGTGCTTTAGAATGTCATTCCTTAACAATCTAGTAAGATATTTCGTGATAATTTGATCATTTCGTTTTTTGATGTTTGCAAGTGTTGTATCTTCCCTTAAACAGTCTGATTCGCTAATTTTTCTCAAAACAGTCACATATAAGTTTGTTTATATAAAAGCTCTGTTCTCTTACCTGTTTCTCCCATGAGTGAGTCTATCTGATCAATGGCAACCAGGTGACTGTCAGCCTCGGGCCCGGGCAGATCAAGCAGAAAACTACACACCTAACAATCAGAGAAAAAATCCCTATGAAAACCAATAGTCATTATAGTTAATGATTGGCTCCTTCTATGGGCTCCATGCGCCGATGAAACAGGGTGCCCTTTTACCTAGCAATGACGTCCCATGGGCGGGACATTTCGCTGGTTGACGTGCACCGTTCCTTGTGTGTGACGCACGTACACCAGGGGATTTGTACTATGTAGGCCTACACGCAGTGGCCACGCTTCGCGGCAAATGAATTGCAGTCAGGCAAGATGGCGTCGGTCGCTCACCCCCAACTGTTCCTTCTTTGCCGGTGAGGGGGTACTTGTGAACGGAGCGGATACTGCACTGTTTTTTCTATAATTGAGTTCTACCTGGCATAAAGCATTACCACAGATGCTAACTAAAGATCACCGAATTCCACAAGTATTTTTTAGGCTAAATCTTTGGGTAATTATCTATAGTAGAAACCGTCGCCTCCTCTTATATTATAGATCCAAATGAAATTTTACAATACAAAATATTCAGCACTTTTATAAAAATGTCGCCGTGCCATTTTCATCCATTTTTTTGAAATTTAATTTTTAAAAATCAGACTTTACAGGGAAAGGATCAACAGAAAATTTGGAATTTTGGAAATAATGTCGGATTTCCAATTCGGAAAAGTTTCATCTCTAATAAATTAAGCTAAAGAGACTTTCAAAGAGTTTTTCTACAAACATCCACATTTATTAAAAGGAATACCTCTTTGTGTCCGTTGCCGGCCGCTGCCACAAACGCCTGCTGGGATATGGTCCTCCTATGCAGCTGGTCGGTCTCCTGCCCCGTCCAATCACATTGCAGGAGGAAGCTGAGAGCAGCTAGGTGGCCGTGCTCGGCAGCATGGACCACTGAGCACCTATTGGTCTTGTCGGCATCAACGACCTGAGACAGGGGCAACATTACAGATGTGTGCAAGAGGTATACAGATCACTTCTATAAATTTGGTGTGCACTTTTTTCCTGTCCCTTTTTCATACGACATCTATGATTTCATAATTCTAATGTATTTCTCAATGTAGTTGTCCTCCGAGACCCATTATGAATAGCAAACAAACAAAAAATCCTTGAAGTCATTCTTAAAGGTAGAGTAGATCGTTTGTCATTTGTGCAAAGTTTTTTTGCATTTGAGCAACAAAAGTGCTCAAATCTAAAGACGACTGCTTAACAACTAACCTGATGAAGTTTTAGCTCAGTGAACGCTGTATATTCCAAGGAAACGATATTCTAGGATCTTGATTTCAATTCAAAATTTGTGGAGTCATGTTTTGAATTGCGCCCGAAATCAGCATCCGGGACACGTTCTCATTCAGCCGATTGCAGCTACAAGATGTCACACACTGAACCGACAAATTATAGCAACCGCGCTTGTGTGCGTCGTGTCAACACTTGTGCGCACCCATTCACGGATTTGCCTAGTAACACACCAACTACTTACAGCAATTTCCAAAAATGTGTCACTCGACGCATCTTTGAAAATGACTTTTTATTGTTTTCTTCAAAATGACAGCATACCAGAAGGAAACATTTCACAGGGAGAAATATTTTGTTCAATGGGTACCAGTGCGTGAATCCCTCTGATGGTAAAAACACAAAAATGCTTACCAGTGATTTCTTGATGATTAACATGCGCAGGATCTCCAGGTGGCCGTTGGCGGCCGCGTAGCTGAGCGGCGTCATCCCCCGGTCGCACTCCTCGTTCACGTCGGCGTCAAACTCCAGCAGGAGAGACACCATCTCCGTGTGACCCTCCCTGGCCGAGACGCACAGCACGGGGGCGCTGTTCAAGACGTCCGTGTGGTGGTTGGGGTTGGCACCGGCTAGGAGTAGGAGTCTGCTGACCTGCGGGACAAAAAAAAATCAATTAAGGGTCCACTTTTTAAAAACTTTTTTTGCAATGTTTTTCTACTTTACAGCTTCACAAAATTGGTCCCTCATTGCAAAACCCATCAACTATGAGCGCGAAATGACAAACTTCGCCAAAACGAAAAAATAACCAAACGTTTTTTACCTTGACGTTTGGTGAGAAGAGATTACGCCTGGTGGCCAAGCTGAGGGACAGCTGGTCCGTGTTGAGGTGCATCCAGACGGCCTGCAGCTCCCTGGCCGAGAAACCGCCCAGCTGCCGGCCCAGAGTCTTGTAGATGTGGGCCTTCAGGATGTGGTGGCCCAGCTCGAAGGTCTGGTCACGGTTCAGATGCCTTGATTGACGGCTGAGCTTGAAGGCTAGCAGGGCGTGGCCAGATCTAGTTTTAAAATGAGAGACACACAATTATTTCTAAGAAAACGAGATTCAAAAATCAAATAGTAAGATAAAGAATGTATCACTTTGATTTGCCGTAACATTATATGGTAATAACTACTATCACTCAGTAGATATTTAGTTCTAATAAGAACTTGTCCAGCTTACTATCAACTTTCGCTAAGTAGCTTTAGTTCTGATAAGAACAGTCCTGCTTTAAGTTCTAAAAGACCTTGTCTTTAGAACTTAAAGCAGGACTGTCCTTATCAGACTAAATCTACGTAGCGAAAGTTGATAATAAGCAGGACAAGTTCTTATCAGAACTAAATATCTACTGAGCAACAGTAGTTATTACCACATGGTGTTACCGCAAACCGAAAACGATACTGATACTCCACCATGCAAAGCCTGAAATCTTATAAAATAAAAAATCATCTTTTAAAGTCCTGAACATAGTACATACGTACAGACATAGTGATTGCATAGTCTCTTTCCTGAACAAAGTCCAGGCGAGATAAAAATCTCTGTGACCTCAAGAACAAGAAAGTCCACCATGTCTCACCTGTGATCACACATAAACTTGACGCTCTCCCCTTCATCCCTTCGTATCAGCCACTCTCTGAACGACGGGTGATAGAACATCCTCATGCCGTCCTTCCGAAGGCAGAGAAAACTAGACACCATCTCCAGCCGCTGCTTGAAGTCGTCCCTCTCCACGTAGCTGGTGATGTAGCCAGCGTTCATGACCTCGAAGACCATGGGATCCGGGAGAGGGTACAGGGAAGCCAAGGCAATGTTCAGGATGGGAGCTACTCGGTCAAACGCCCTGGTGGTCTGGAACTTGAGATTGCAGAGTAAGAGGTAGACCTCGGAGAGGTTGATGGGCAGGACCTTGTAGCTGGAGCTCTTGAGGACGATGTGGCCCTTCTCGATCAGATCCAGGGTCAGCTTCAGGTAGAGGAAGCAGCCACGGCTCAGCGCCTGCAGGTGACTGCGGAACTTGGACTGGGCCGCGTGCTCCAGCTTGCCGTTCAGCAAGACGTTGTCGCGCACGGCCGGGCTCTGCTGCAAGCGGTAGTTGATGTACTGCTCGGCGTCCTTCTGCACGTGCTCCGAGGAGGCGCTGGTGGCGTTGGCGGTGGACTTGTCCAGGCAGATCTTGTGGAGGGGCAGCATCTTGGTGATGTCTACCAGAGAGCTTCTGATGGTAATGACCACCTTGAAAAATGAAAAGACACAGTCAAAAGTTGAAAAAAGCTGTTAAATAGATGGGCAGTTTCACAGTGTCGGATTACATTTTGGACATTTCAGCAGTGCGCATTATTGTAGTTATAATCATAAAGTGGATTTTAATTTTGATAGAAAGTATCAGTTAGTTTCTACAATGATTTAAAAAAGAAATGATCACCCCGAGGTACTAGAAGCTGACAAACTATTTCCCGAGGGTAAGCGCTTGGTAAAAAGCAAAACTGGCAGCTGATGATGAATGGACCAGTAAGGGTCTAAAGCCTGCCTCAGGTGGACCTGCGAGTTGTTTGCGCCGCGACAGAACCGTAGGAATAAAGCACAAAAGTCATTTTCTGGTCATTAAAAAAACGGGAGAAATCTTGTGATTATCGTGGAACATGCGGCATCTCGACGCAGAATAATCACAACAATGCCCATGTCACCCACAACACGAGGACGATTCACAATAAAATTCTGGTTACGCGCACGACGTTGTAACTTCACACAGGTCGACTGCGACTGATTCCCGCCTGTCAGGAACACATCCCGTCACAGCGCAGAGAAGTTGAAATTTTTCTTCTCTTGCAACTGTTTATTTATTTTTTAGCGCTGACTGATGTCGATCATCTTAATAGTGTCGCAACTACACTCAGGTTGCAAAAAATCAGCAACTGATATGTTCCCGACGGTCATAGCTCAGGCACAGCCTGATCCTGAACAGTCAGCCGCCGACTGATCTGTGTCATAGCAAGGTCGACCTGAGGGCTAAGATGACAAGACAAGAAAATCTTCCTCTACCAACCTTGATCCAAGGGGGGAACTTCATGATGTTCTTGCTGATGAACGAGGAGATGGTGTCGCCGTAGTCCGACTTGTGAAACTCCGCCTCGCTCAGCCCGTCCACCAGGATGAGGCAGGTCTCCATGGCGATGCGGCCTTGGTTCTTGAGCATGCTCAGTGGCTCCAGGATGGCCCTTGACAGGACCTCCGAGGGGTTCTGGGTGCAGTCGCGCATGCTGAGTAGGGCCTGAATCTGGGGCTCGCTCAGGAGCAATTCTCTAAAAAAAAAAAAAAAAAAAAAGGATGCAAGCATTAGGAGAGAGTAAGTGACAACCCAATTATGAGATAAACATGCATAACACGTATAGCAGGGCTTGAATTGAATGATGACCACGACGGCCAGTGCCGTCGTTGCCTTCTTACTGGCCGAGGTGCCCCACAAAAAATCCCTGTCTTCACGGCCAGTTTTGCCTTGCCCCATATTTACCTTGGCTGTCGTGCCCATTTTTGCAAAAACATCCATCAGCCTATTAAAACCACTACAATCCTTGATTTCAGTTGTTTTTCCACACATTGACAATGTATTTCGATGTCATGCCAGCCCGATCGGGGTTGTCTTAAAATCTCGCTGAATCAATCACACGCACGGCCTTGGCCAAACACTGGCGCTTTCCCATGCTCTGTACATATCATGTACGATGTACACACACTGTGCTGACAAATGAATCTCCAGTTCCGGAGTGTGCCGATACTTCAAGTAGCGACACCCCAGCCGCAAAAATATATGTCTGTATTCGTACACAAACATACCAGCAGGAGTACGTACGGCAGATCTCACGTGCAGTCAACCAACTTTACACGCGGTACACAATATATAGGCATCGATGTTCGTGTACGAGGCAAACGAGCTCGAGGCATAGTCAAAACGCACGTGCACATGGTGTTCCGATTGTCAAAAGATATCAATGGCGATAGTGTATTATGGTCTCGGTTCCCTCAGAGAACAAAATCCACTTTTAATTTATTTGACTTACCAAACTAGTTGGCGACATTAAGAACATGCAGGTAGGTCATAGATAGAGGGCAGGGTTTTGAATTTTTGAGGGAAATTTGGGGGTAAAATGACAACGACAAAACGCAATACGATAACAAAGATGGCGATCGCACGGCACCAACCATAAAACCGCGTACAAAAACCGTAATTTCTATCCCAAAAAAAGTTTTCCAAATTACAAAAAAGGTTTCATTGGAACTTAGAGAAGTCTGCTTAAGGTTGAGAAGGTAATTTTTTGAATGATAAAAAACACCCTTGACTCTAATTGGATCGAAACTTAAGAGGGGCCCTACACTACACGATCGCCGATATAACATTCACATTTTTTTAGCCCCCCTTCTGCAGATATTATTTGGCCTTAGTGCCCTACCTACTGGCCTTGGTGCCCTCTATAATTTTGCTTCATTCAAGGCCAAAATGGCCTAAATCCACCAAAAGAACACACTTCCGCTTGATGGGTTATGTTCATATTTTGGGAGGTTGAAAATTTATAGTTATTGATTCAAAAAATCTCAAAACCATAAAATGGTCAGTTCCACCCCAAATGACTTCACTGGCCCTTTGTGCGAAAAAAACTTCTCACATATAGTTTTCAACTAAAATAAGCATTAACTTTTGATCTGGTAGCTTCTCTTTTATGTGTTCACTTTGTTGAGGCATATAAGGATATACGGTACTACACTGGATGCAGGTGTTCTCTTCTTTATCTTTGAGCTATCTTTCAGAGAGAAACCCAAACAAGTCTAGATGCCAAATCTTCAACAAATCCCCCTTACTTGTACGGCTGCAGGCAGTGCGCGAGTTGCGCGGCCAGCCCGTGGACAAACTCAGGCACCATGCAGGTGATGCTGTTGTCCGCCTGGCACACGTGGAACGCCCCTATCTGTGAGGCCAGTGACATGAGGGCCTGCTCTGACTGCTGCCGGGCCCGAGTCAGCGTGCTAGAGCTGCTGTAGACGCTCACCCCGTTGGGCGGGTTGCCATTTTTGTCTTGGGATAGAAGAGAAACAATAATGACAATAAGAACATGAAGAGTTGCTTTTCGATTGAAACCTCTAGCCACAAAAATATGCAATCCAAAATCAGGTCAACTGTACTCACTGTAAAGCCAACAAAATTTTTGCAAAATTTCAAAACACCAACACGACTTCTTCAGTATTTCACCGCCCAAGTTTGTATTCTACGTTCCAATTTTGCCTTACAGGGTGAAAGCAAATGATTTCAAAGCTTTAACTTTAAACAAAATGGACCATGTACGTGTTTCATGCATACATTTTTTTCTTCTCACTTTTGTTTATTTTCACTATCTTGAGTTCTGAAATTCTCAAACATCGTATTGCAAGTCCAATAATTTCAGACTACGTTCCTTCAAAGTTGTTTTCAGGGTCACATGCCTGATCAAAGCCTATTGCAATTACCGTACAGACTTAACGTACTATTGCATTTTTAAAAATATTACTTAAAGAAATATCAGCGACATTAGGAAAGCAATAGGCTAACTGTGTTAGGAAAAAAAAGCGAAACTAGAGAAAGAAAGTATTTACCAATATTGGTACTCAAGCTTTCTACAGTTTTATTACCCCTGCTTATCAGAGCCCACAAAATTTGACCACAAAAAACAAAAGATGGCAAACCTGAAAGAGCGATCTCAGGACTGCTGTCGTTGACCAGGAACTGACTCAGACTACTGAGGGAGACCAGCTTGGCGACGATGGTGGTCTTTCCCGTCCCCACCTCCCCCAGCAAGACCACGCCCCTCAGCTTGGAGGCGGCTGTTGCGTCCTTGAGTAAGGAGCGCTCCAGGTCGATGAAGAGCCACTCCCGGCCAATCAGGGGATTGTCCTGGTGGAAACCGGGGATCTCAAAGGTGATTGGTCGGAGCAGGAGTTGGGAAGGCTTGTAGACAGGGAGGCGGCCTGTATGATAATAATATACAGAGGAACTTATTTTTCTTGGGAACTTGTTTTTCTTGGGAACGTTATCAGCAGCAGTAGCACTAAAAATGTAGTCAAGCAAAAATCTGATCCTGAAGAAGGCTTGTGGACAGGGACGCAACCTGCTTGGCATTATATAATCAGTCGCCTTGATTATTGCAATGGCTTATATTATGGCTTACCAAATTCACAATTACTTAATCTTCAACGGGTTCAGAATGCTGCAACAAGGCTTGTTTGTGGCAAACCATCGTGGAACCATGTTACTCCTCTACTTTATCAGTTACATTGGTTGCCTATACAATCTCGCATACACTTTAAAATCCTTCTGTTGACCTCCAAGGCTCTTCATGATCTTGCTCCCTGATAAATTATAGATATGTTGAAAGTTAAGGTCCATTCCAAGTATTCCCTGCGATCCAATGGGCGCTTGCTTTTAGATTATCCATCTGGGAGAATGCAAAAGACTATGGGGGATCGTGCATTTGCACAAGCCGCTCCCAGCTTATGGAACCAGCTACCGCCTGAAATTCAGTCCGTTCAGTCTCCAACAGATTTTAAGACTAAGCTTAAGACTTTTCTTTTTACAAAGGCATTCGTATAAGGTTTTACTAGGTATTATCTATTTTAAATGTAGGTCTTGTTTTTGTAATTTTAAGTTTCATTGTTTTGACAGTGTTTTCTAAAATATCTAGTGTTTTTTTCATTTAAGACTAATGTTAAATTCGATTCGTACTTTTAATATTTTAGCTACTGTTCAAATTTTGTAATGCGCATTTGAACATTTAATGGTATATGCGCATAATAAATGCAATTTTATTATTATTTTATTATACGAATTAGTTAGGGGAAAAAACCTTATTTTTGATGGGAACTTTAACAGCAGTAGTTGAACAAAAAAAGTGTAGTGCGGAACAAATACGCATAAATCTAAGTCTAAAGTAGAATATTATGTGCTGACAAACACAAAGGCCCCGCTGAGCCTATATCAAATCACATGACTGTAATATGGCACAAAATTCACTTCACAAATTAATAGCACTCCTCGACCAAAAATACCACATATCAAGCTTTTCAAGTTGGTACTGGGTAACTCAACGGCACGGCGTCAAACGTTCATCATTCAACAGTGTGCGTAGGAAAAGTTAGACTCATAAAGTGGATTTTTATTCTGACAAAACGCATCAGTCTGTTACTACAATGATTTAAAAAAGAAATATTTGATCCAACTTCTTTGCTGTATTAGGAATCGGCTCGAAACACCATGGGGTCGGACAAATTGATTTTTCTGTGTACTCTAATAATTGTTCAGTTAAAAGTAACAGCTGAGGTGTTGAAAACTGTTAGAAATAAACTGTATTTCAATAAATTACAGATAACGAGCTTTCAAAATGATGCACTTGTTTCATTTGTGGCATTTGGATTTTTGTGAAGGTTTTCACTGTGGTTTATAGTTTTATGGAATTGCCCTACTCTAATTATGGCTTGAGATATCGTGCTGGAACCATGTCTATTGTTTTAACCATAAAAACTTTGACATTTGAGCTATGATGTTCAAAATAAACAGGCTTCTTAAGTTTCCAAGAACAACTGGCATACAATGTTTAACAAGTTACCAATGACCTTAACCTTTAACTTATTGGATCAAACCAAAAATAAAATGCTGTGGGGGGATCCATGACAGTTATCTTAAGTTTTAAATCTAATTTGTGGCAAATTTTCACATACTTAAATATCTAATTATCATTGTTTACCTTTCATCAACTCAACTGCAGCTTTGCCAGTGGGTTCTTTATCCCTTAGTGACCGTCTAACCATGGCCGCCCGACGGCCACCAAATAAGGGAATATCATCCAGTGCTTCGGGGCTAGAAGCTGGCAACAACAAAAAGGAGGAAACAGTAAAATATAAAAGAGGAACCGGCAAAACTAACTTAATGAATCCAGATAATTTTAAAGGCATTTTATCAAAAGACTTATAGGATTGAAGTGCCTTGTTTGCTCCTTTATGTTATACATACACAAAGACTTTTATCCTGTTTCGGCCATTTTGTCACAGTGACAAATTGTTTTCAAAAAGAACCTCTGAGAAAGGTTGTTACTGACGTTTTGTTACTATTTCCCTTACTTCAGCAACATTCCTGTTAGCCAATGGGCTGTTCTAGATTGGGCCATAGGCCCCGCCCATATTTTGTGTATTGGGTCACCTGAACAAAAGTGTTGATGTGATTGGTCAATGTGCACTGTATGACTGACAGGCAGGGAGGCTCCACTTTTAATTTTAGCCAATGGGCTGTTCTGGATTTGGCATGAGCCCCTCCCACCTTTTGTCTACATCTTTCAAAAGTGCTTGTGTAACAAAGTTTGACTTTGAGCTACTTGTGGGGTCACCTGACCAAAAGTGTTGATCTGATTGGTCAATGTGCACTGTATGACTGACAGGCAGGGAGGCTCCACTTTTAATGTTTTCATATCAGACTCTTCTTGCTATAGCAATCTTTGTCTGGTTCCCAATACACTTCACAATTGCAACATGCTGATTTGGAAGAAAGACTTGTACCAGCCTGTATTTACAAGGGGTGCGTTCCAGCCATGCCAAAGTGTTTGCACTTGTTAGCTAGGCCGCTGCGAACGTGCCAACCTCAAAACGGCGGCTGCCTGTATGCCAATCCTTCAAGTGTCACTGTTTGGATAGCACCTTTTAAAATCCTCAAAAAATTGATTGTGACTGGAAGTAGAAGCTTGCTAACTATTTTCAAGAACCTACTTGGGATGTAGGAAACGGAAAAAATCCGGCCCCAACAGGATCCTTGCATTTTTTCAGTGTGTGGGCCATTTTGCCATTTTGGAAAAACATAGCTAACAACTCAGGAGGACCGTTTGCCTTGGCTGCTAATGTTCCCCAACGTTGGCTGCTAATGTTCCCCGACATTGGTGGCAAACAGTCGGTCCCAATTAATAATAATAATAATAATACCGGAGTCTTATATGGCGCACATATCTATCAACAGTTAGGTACTCAAGGTGCTGGACAATATGTCTATTATTAAAGGTAAATAAAGTTTTTATGAGAATTATGAGACCCGTTATATAGCACCTTATAATGGTTTACAAGGTGCTGTGGCGCATATTGCAGCCACTGCCAGACACACCGAGGCAAACCCCTTCTCTTAGCGATAAGTGTTACTGGGTTCTTTTACGTGCATGACACAACACACGGGACCTACGGCTTTACGTCCCATCCGAAGGACGAAGCAATAATGGTAAAGTGCCTTGCTCAAGAGCACAAGCACCATGTTCCCACGGTCAGGATTCGAGCCCATGCACCATGGCACACCAGTCGAACACCGTAACCATTGGACCACAGCACCCCACAATTGCGCAGATGTTGTCAATGATGGCAAACATTAGCATTACTCCCTTAAGTGGGACGCAACCCAGTACTGCTGACTGTGACTTAAAGTAATGAGCAAACTACAAATGGCAAAGAATTTAGCCAGACTTACTTGAGGCAGACCTGTGTCTGCCCACACCAGTGTTGCTGAGCAGGAGTCCCGAGGCCGAGGCATCTCGCTGCGTCGGCGACAGTGGTCCCACGTCGCCAACGACATCTCTGCTCTCAGCCATCAGGTCCGAGTGTTGCTTGACAAGCACCGGCTTGGTGACTGGGCGTCGATTTGGGGCATGCTCTGGACTGCCGGAGCCAACACTGTCGGAGTCCTGAATGATAGGATATTCAATCAGGAATTGGCAAATGCAGTTTATAATAACTAAACTTGTCAACCACCAAAATCATCAATATAACAAAATCAACATTGATCTTATTCTCACCTGTCTGTCGGCAGCAATGTGCTTCAAGCTCCCCTGTACCTGCTTGGGCACCTGACCACCCCCGTCAGCTGATGGTAAATCCCTGAGGTTGCTATCTGATTGGCTGATGGAAGACCGGGCATTGGGGTGCGGGAGGGTTCTGCTCTGTTGACTGGGTGGCCTGGCTTCCTTCGATGCGCTGGCCGGCAGCGTAGAGGTGTGGTTCCTGCTCAGAGCTGATTCTGTAAATTTGAAAGTTCAAGAAATGGACTTGGCAGAGTCGAACTCAAAGAAAAGAGGTTATGGTTGCGCTTTCAAAGAATCCTTTTTAACTATTTCTGGTAAGAATCAAATGAGGAATTGAGTTGGTTACCTCTGTGATTTCTGCCTCGGAAATCTGGCGTGGCCTCGGTTTTCGATGACATGTCCAGACCCTCCAGTGAGGTGACGATCGTCAGCGACGGGTCGGTGGAGTTGGCAAAGCTCAACGAGCTGTCCTGGAGAGTGGAATCCATGGAGCGACCGCGGCTGTGCTGCCCTCTAGGGCTCGTCATGCTCGGCGAGATGGTCCGAATATGCTCCATGCTACGAGGCCTCTGATTGGCCAGGTCATTCTGCTGCAGGACATTGCTGACCGGTGTACTGTACGTGACTGTTGAGGTCTCGGATTTGTCTCTGGACGGAGACGGCGAATTGGACTTCTGCGAGGAGGGTGAGCTTGCAGTTTTACGGGGCACTATCGGCTTTTCTCGTACCCATGGTGACATTGCATTAACGACGGGTCTTTCCTGCTCATCGCGCTGTTGTTCTGCGTCAGCCGAGTCAAACAATTCCTTGAGTTGCTCTTCCAGACAGGACTTTCCCGTGCCGTGATTGTGGTAACTCCCTGGCCTTGAAGACGGCTTGGGGGCGGGGACTGGCGGTTGACCATCTTTGGCTTTCGGCAACCTTGAGTCGATAGTGTGAGCGCGGATGGGAACGTCCGCCTTCTCGCTGTCCTGACCAATGAAACTGTTGGGCCTGTTCTGCCCTCCGTTTGTGGTGGCGCCGTTCACTTTCCCATCCGGTGACTTACCGACCGAATGTGGCTGGATGCTTATGGGGTTTTCGTACACGGCTGGATTCTGCGCGTACTCTTGCACTGTCCGGCGAACTTTGGCCTCCTGCACAACGGGCTTTGTGACCTTGGGGTCGACCAGCTGCTTGGCCTGATTCACAGAGGTCAAAGGTTGTGACCTCTGACAGGCGTGATCGGCCGAAGTTCTCAAACTGCTCCTGCCCTTGAGAATTTGATGTCCAGTACTATCTGGGTTTGAGTGTTTGACTGAGGACCATTTCTTGGCCTGTTGGATCTGGGCTCCCTGTCGTGCATGAACAGGCTGAGTGGAGCGGCTGACGCCCTCTAATAATCCATCAGTGGCTCTGGGATCAGTGACAGGAGCTGATTGACTTCGATCCCGCAGGATGGCCGTGTTGGCGACGGGCGTGCTGTGAAGGGGCGGGAAGAAGGTGGCCTGAACGGTCCTGTCGCTGGAGGGGGACTCCGGGGGAGGCGGCATCTGGGCTTGCTTGAAGAGGAACCCTAGACGATCCATCAAGGCCTCAGCAGCTTCCGAGGGGGCCGGTGGAGGAGTGGCACGGTCATCTTTGTACACAGGAAGAATAATAAGCAAACCCAAAAAATTAATATATAATAAAGATTTACAAAAAAGCCTGTCATTTTTAGCATTTGCCATTTTGAAATAAATTTACTCATAAAAGAGATAACCTCAATATAAAAATCATGTGCAGAGATAAATTCAAGTGCCAGGATTTTTATCAAGTTTTCAAAAAGAAATCTTAGCACAGGATCATCTCTAATACTGAATGAAAAAAATTCCTACGTTCTTCATTCACACCATCTATTGGTGTTTCTCTTTTGCCAAGTAAAAAAAAATAAACCAGTTTCTCGTCCCCGCCCACTTCCTTTTTTCCAGCCGCTTCTTCTTCTTTTTCTTTTTTGTTTGTTTGTTTAATTCTTACATTTGTAATATATTTTGAACATATTTTGTCAATATATTGTCTGTTTTATTTGTTTCGCACAAAACAGTAGCTATGTAGAAAGGATTATGCCTCCTTTGGACACAATTTTGCATCAGCAAAATATCGGAGATAATTGAAGAATCAATCCGCCATCTTGAAAAAACCACCATCTTGAGGGGGAAAAAAAAGAGAGCAAAAAAAGCGCCCGCCTCTTTCATTTCTTTACAAAAGGCCGGACTAGAAACTACTTATTTTTTTTACTTGGCCTTATCATCTTGCAATATTTCATTCTGCGTGTTGTTTCTGGGAGTCCAAACCAAACTGAATAGAATTATTGCGGAAAAAAAATCAAGGTGGCTGAATACACGTGCTAAAGTACCGCGGAAAAAATGACAAGCATCTCCCAAGGCGATGTCAACAGTGTGAAAGTCTGACAGCTTATTAATCAATAGCTTTAAGTTTTCAAATTTTCACTTGGCCTGTCTATTTTGCACGACGAAGACTTGGCCAGAGGCGGGGAGAACATTTCTCACCTTTACAGGAGTCGGAGTCGCTAATGTCCCCCGTGTCGTAGGATGACTCACTCCCCTCGTCCGAGGTTGGGCCTTGGGATGGGGGAGGGGGAATGAAAAGCTGGGGTGGGGCTGGCGGATCTAAAGGAGACAACAGAGGTAGGGGGTGGGGAAAAAAATCAATAAATGTTATGTTGTCATCAGACAGCTTGGAATATATACAATTCTTAATAAAGGCCAACACCCAATGTAAAGTCACATGAAAAAGTCAAAAAATAAGCGTATTTCTACGTACCAAAAATAAACCATAATCATTGACAGTTTATAAACTTTTTATCAAACTGTTGGTTTTTTCCACTTAAATGCTGCAGAAATGAGGGCTATTCTCTACTGTTCAATGAAAAACACTGCTCAAGAACTGTTTTGCTGAAAATTCATTTTTTAAATAAACTTGTATTTTAACAGCACACTCTTAAGTATACTGGTAGATGTTACACGACTAAATCACCTTAGAATACTCTGACGCATGTATGTTTTCATTGTGAAGTTAAAAACATAAACAGGTGTTTCCCAATTTCAAAACTGTACATGCAGTAGCGTATTGGTAGCAAAAAACGTTTTCATGGGGGAGAGAGTGGTTACCAAAGTTTTTCCCCATAATTTCAATATGCTGAACGGCCATGTTGTTGCTTTCAACCTGATGCGTGGCTCAAAACCCTTCCCCCTCCCAACCAATGTCTACAGAAATATGATTTTGAAACATGCATCCTTGGTCGTGCCAAAATTGAGTATTTTTTTGTGGCTCTGTCTTCTGTTTTTACAATCGGCACACAAAGGTGAATGTACTTAGCCATGGAAAACAATTCCCGATTCTGACCAAGCGTCATTCTCTTCACTGCACTGGTACTGACCTTGCCTGCCTGTGTACTGTGTCGTTGCGGGTGGACTGGCCATCATGGTAGGGTCCTCAAAAAACTTGCGCCTCTGAACGGAACCTGCAGAAAACAAATAAAAAAGAAAAAAAAACCATTTATTTTAACTAAAAATGTGAAATAAAACATTTGCTGGAATGGACAGTTAAAGAAAAAAAGGGTAAGTTAAAGAAATTTTGAGTCAACACCGTCAGTGGGCCGTTTCAGATCTGGACAAAGCCCCGCCCCACCTTGGGTTTGTGTACATTTCTCACAGTGCTTATGACCGGGGTACGATTGTCACCCGACCAAAAGTTGTGATCTAATTGGTCAATGTGCTCTGTTTGATTGACAGGCAGGAAGGCTATACTTCAAAGCAACTTGAACTTGGGAATGAACATTTTTTTTTACTCTTAAAATTACTTGTCTGTCAATGATGACAAATGAATCCTTGAAACCACCAATAAGTACATGTATCTATGTTTAGTGAAGAATGATACATGTACATTGTAAATTGCCAGGCAGATTTACAAATTGTAACCGACAGAAGAATTTGAAATGTACCCAGTGGCTGCTTAATATCTATTCCCATTCGTCTAAAACATTTCCCTGACTAATAAACCCAGGCACCCTGCCTGTTACTCCCTATACCGCCCAAAACTGTCCCATCACAATGTGGTTTTTGGGATTCATCAGGGAAAAAATATAATGTAATACAATGTAGTACACTTGCCCATAAGAATGATATTGACCAAAACTTTACCATGCATATACTGTGGTAACAGTCTGGCTGCGTATGGTGTAAAAAAAACTTAACATCATACATACTACACACATTCATGTACTATTTTACCATTCTCTGCATTACATGTACCGGTACTTGGTATGTTTGGTCAAAGGGCCTCCCTAGTGTTCTCCTGCTGATAGGAATGGACTGTAGGATTCTTAAAATTCAGAGAATACTTGTAGCTTAACGTGTTTGTGTTCCCTGCAGGCCTTCAGGGTTTTCAAAACAGTAGAGTATACTCATGTACATGGATTGCCATCTGACAGAAAGCAGGCATAAAAAAAGCAGGGCTGCTTTTTCAAGTGTATATACGTGCAGTGCCCACTATACCATGTACATGTCCAGTCAAGTACACACGTACATGTACATGTATGCCTTGGGCATTTCCTTCTGCTACATGTACCTCCTATACAAGTACTTATAAGTAAAGTCTGCCGGGAGCCAATATGGCCCATCAGGCTAGCGTTTATCTCCAGTTTGAGTGGCATGAAACAAATATTTCTATTCCCCCTGGATGGGATGCTAGTCCATCGCAGGTTACTCTGCAGCTAATGCTGGTACCGATTACTCCTGGGTGGAGAGAGGCAAGTGAGGGTGAAGTGGCTTGCCAGCAGCTGGACTTGAACCCCTGACCCTCTGATCATGAGTCACAAACCCTAACCACTAGGCCACACTCCCCCTACATCATACATGTAGTCATACATGTATGTGCCTCATAATTATGATCACCAGTAACTGACCAACATGCAATGCATACGTCTGTACACTGCAACTAATGGACAACGTGTCAACATCAACCAATGTGTATGGACGGTGTGTATAAAACATTATTAATAAATACAAAAACAACATAGTACTGTGAGGTACATGTACATGTTCATGTACAATGTACATTCCCATGTAGATATACATACCACAGGAAAGCACCCAGCAGGCTGGTTATGTAAACAAAGGAACATGCTTCAGCACATTAATTCTTCAAAACTTAATTAACCAAAACTTAATTTTTCAAAAACATATCTATGCAAAGGAGAAATTTAATTTATATAGATACATACTAACTGGTGAAATACCAATTTCATTCACCTTACATGATGTGCCTTGTAGGTGATCAACCACACAAGCAAGCAGATGGACAGACAAAGGGACTGACAGTAACATCAAGCTGACGAACTATTACTAAGACCCTTAAAGTGCACTTCACCTCTGCGCTGGCAAGTCCTCAAGACTTTTCCAAAGATATCTTGGCAGGTGTAATGGAAGCAATTTACCGACACTTAAAAACCTGCCAATCACGGTGCCCGCGACTCGACGCTTTTCCTAATAACTAAGCCATTAAAACTGGATGCACGGTTGATGTCTTATATGAAGAGCGCATTCACCACATGCTGTACAACTGCTAGCAGTGAAACCTTATATTGCGGATACCCCACGACATAACCCTTAAAATAAATTGCCAAAAAATCGTCCCAATCAATAGTGACTTGGCAATCTATGTCAAACATCCAGTCAAGAGGCTCCGCGCCAACACCGTCAAATGCTGCACGATCTTGAAAAATGCGGTCAATTGCTTCGGGAAAGTTGCCATGGTTTCCAGATATTCATTATGGGGGAAGCTTCCAGCTCTTCGTCAGCTTTGTCACGATCTGGTGACAGCTTTATGACTTTGAAATGAGGTCACGTCTTCACGGTTTATTGTTAACATCCGGTCTACCGGACAATGGACTTGTCAGAAATTCACTCCGACACCTTCCCACTTTTAAGCACACATGCACGTGTCTGTTTTTCAAAATTTGTGAGTAAATGTATCACTGCAAAATGACTGCGACATGTTCATGTGAAGTAGTATACATGTAAGTCAAAGTCTATGTATACAAGTACATGTACGTCATTCTATAAATTTGGGGTCCACTTTTTTGCGTCCCTGTTACATCTGACATCTATGACTTTATTCTTCTGACTTTCCTTAACCCTAACCCACCTCACTCCTCCAAAATCCTCCTGGCGGTTTTGGAGGATTCTAGAGGATTGAGGATGAATGGTGATTGAATCAAATGAGGATTCTGGAGGATTGAGGATGAATGGTGATTGAAGCACATGAGGATTTTGGAGGATTGAGGATGAATGGTGAATGAAGCACAAGAGGATTTTGGAGGATTGAGGATGAATGCATTTTGAGGCAGGACTGTCTGATGATTTTGAAGGATTTGGCGTTGGTTATCCTTCATTTAAACACCAGTGCAAAGTTTTGGGATGAGGAGGATTTTGGAGGATTGAGGATGAATGCATTTTGAGGCAGGACTGTCTGACAATTTTGAAAAATTTAGGCGGAGTTGAAAATTTTTGGAGGATTTTGGAGGATTGAGGATGGTTGTAAGCAACAAGGGCCTAGGGGGTTAGGGTTAACCCTAACCTCCTCAACTCCATCAAAACCCATCCCCCCATTTTGGTGGATTTTGGGGGACTTTTTGGGGTCCTGCAGGCCTGGTTTGACTAAATATTGATGGAGTATGATGGACTTGGGCATGGAGGCCTAAAGCAAGGCATGCATTGGAAGCAGTGTGATTGATGGATTTTGGCGGACTTGGTCCAGTACTTAGTAAAAGACAGTAGGGAGTTAGGGTTAAATTAATGCAGTCATCCTCCAAGAGTGATTATGAATAGAAAACTACATTTGTACCTACCGAACAAATAAAACATCTTGGTAGTCATTCTTAATAAATGATATTTCAATGGCAAATTACAGTGTACCAAGGTAACAGGGACAGGAAAAAAATGTCGCAATTTGAACCCTAAATATTCAGAATGACCCATAAACAATCTTTCTTTATTCCAAATTTTGAATTTCAATCTCTAAGTTACGTACATACAGGCATGATTCTTGTTTTAAGGCTTTATTTGATTAGCTCAAAATAAATTGGTCAGTCGGTTTTTTTTCCTGCCTGCCTTACATGTACATGTAAGGCTTTTTCTCCCCAAAAGTAACGTAAGTTTTTGAACGCTGTAGTTTTCTCAAGTCTTATCTCTTTTTTGTGTGGATTAAGCCAACAAGTAACTGTAAAATTCTGAGAGCAGTACATGTACCGGTACTAATAAAATCTCAATTTTCCATATAAAGCTAACTTGGTAGTAAGGGATTAAACATCTTTGCCTTGCTTTATCCAATTTTTACTTTCAATGTCTTCTTTCAATCTACATTTAATTGATTATCATTGTTCTTTTCTTACACCGACTACACAATGTGCATGCTTGTCTCACCCCCCCCCCCCCCCCAATTAAATTGTATCTTTATGCATTCGGGTAGAAAAAAACCCAGTTCCGTCTTGTAGATAAAAGCATTGAGCCTGTGATGGGCACTCACACGTTAATGCCCCTAAATGAGGGAGACGTTGCTAGATCAATATTTGCATTCATGTGTTGGGGGCCCCTAATGCTTTTCTGGTATGCCAAGCAATTCAATGGCATGCATCTTTTATCATGTGTATCTAACCACTGTGAATCATCCTCCATACATACAAACACACACCCAATCAAGAATTCCATCTTTTCCAGGCTGCCAATAATAGGATTTCGTCCACCGATCATGCTCAGTCTAAAGTTGACTTGACCCAACCGCCACGACCTTTGACACGTCAAAAAATAATAACCAGGCCTGAGTTATGAAGCGCGCTGGTCGACTTGTGATGTGTTTATTTGTTCAGGTGGAGTCAGAAGAAGAAAAAAAAATCAATCTGCGATGGTGAGGGAATAATCAAAACAAATTGTGGAGAGCGAACTTCAAAATTGTTATTTATGGGCCGAGAGACCGGGAGGAACTAAACTGTTTGCATTCAGGAATTCAACCAGGGCAAATAAAGAAATTCCATCACTTCTTTTCATAACTTTTTTTTATTGACTTGGCCTCTAAATGACCGACCAAATGTACATATTGGCAAATTGGCTTGAATGACTTCTGTAAGGAATATTTTCATGAGGTATTTTACTTCACAGTAGGGTAGTTAATTGCTTGTGAAGATTTTACAAAGAAAAAAAAAGGACATTAACGTGTTATATATTTAATTTTTTTGGTGGTAATTCTCCTAAAAAGAAAACCTTACCAAATTTAAAATAAGCATAAATTTAGAGGTGGAATTCAACTTGAATATCAAAATATAAGCAAAAGAGAGATATATGTGTGGTTTACAATCGGCGGTGACTGTATACCCTACAGGTTCATGTATTTGTTACCGTCACACGGCAATAAAAAAAAAAAAATGTAATGAAATAAAATTACGTGTGACAAGGAACAGCCAACAAA